GCTGAATATGGGCTGCTAGATCTGACAAGGGACTGAGTATGAACTGCATGCTACATCTGACAAGGGACTGAGTATGGGCTGCTAGATCTGACAAGGGACTGAGTATGGGCTGATACATCTGATATGGGACTGAGTATGGGCTGCCAGATCGGACAAGGGACTGAGTATGGGCTAAAACATCTGACAAGGGACTGAATATGGGCTGCTAGATTTGACAAGGGACTGAGTATGGGCTGATACATCTGACAATAGATTGAGTATGGGCTGATACATCTGACAAGGGACTGAGTATCGGCTGATACATCAGACAAAGGACTGAGTATGGGCTGATACATCTGACAACGGATTGAGTACAGGCCGCTAGATCTGACAAGGGACTGAGTATGGGCTGCTAGATCTGACAAGGGACTGAGTATGGGCTGATACATATGACAACAGGTTGAGTATGGGCTGCTAAGATCTGACAAGGGACTGAGTATGGGCTGCTAGATCTGACAAGGACTGAGTATGGGCCACTTAGATCTGACAAAGGGATTGAGTATGGGCTGATACATCTGACAACGGGTTGAGTACGGGCCGCTAGATCTGACAAAGGGTTGAGTACGAGCTGCTAGATCTGACATGGGACTGAGTATGGGCTGCTACATCTGACAAGGGACTGAGTATGGGCTGCTAGATCTTACAAAGGACTGAGTACGGGCTGCTAGATCTGACAAGGAGACTGAGTATGGGCTGATACATGTGACAACGGGTTGAGTACGGGCCGCTAGATCTGACAAGGGACTGAGTATGGGCTGATACATCTGACATGGGACTGAGTATGGGCTGCTACATCTGACAAGGGACTGAGTATGGGCTGCTAGATCTTACAAAGGACTGAGTACGGGCTGCTAGATCTGACAAAAGGGACTGAGTATGGGCTGATACATGTGACAACGGGTTGAGTACAGGGCCGCTAGATCTGACAAGGGACTGAGTATGGGCTGATACATCTGACATGGGACTGAGTATGGGCTGCTAGATCTTACAAAGGACTGAGTACGGGCTGCTAGATCTGACATGGGACCCTAGTATGGGCTGATACATCCTGACAAGGGACTGAGTATGGGCTGCTAGATCTTACAAAGGACTGAGTACGGGCTGCTAGATCTGACAAGGGACTGAGTATGGGCTGATACATCTGACAAGGGACTGAGTATGGGCTGCTAGATCTGACAAGGGACTGAGTATGGGCTGCTAGATCTGACAAGGGACTGAGTATGGGCTGATACATCTGACAAGGGACTGAGTATGGGCTGATACATCTGACAAGGGACTGAGTATGGGCTGCTAGATCTGACAAGGGACCGAGCATGGGCTGCTAGATCTGACAAGGGACTGAGTATGGGCTGATACATCTGACATGGGACTGAGTATGGGCTGCTAGATCTGACAAAAGGGACTGAGTATGGGCTGATACATCTGACATGGGACTGAGTATGGGCTGATACATCTGACAAAGGGACTGAGTATGGGCTGATACATCTGACAAAGGGACAGAGTATGGGCTGATACATCTGACAAGGGGGACTGAGTATGGGCTGATACATCTGACAAGGGACTGAGTATGGGCTGCTAGATCTGACAAGGGACTGAGTATGGGCTGATACATCTGACAAGGACTGAGTATGGGCTGATACATCCTGACAAAGGGACTGAGTATGGGCTGCTAGATCTGACAAGGGACTGAGTATGGGCTGATACATCTGACATGGGACTGAGTATGGGCTGCTAGATCTGACAAGGGACTGAGTATGGGCTGATACATCTGACAAGGGACAGAGTATGGGCTGATACATGTGACAAGGGACTGAGTATGGGCTGATACATCTGACAAGGGACTGAGTATGGGCTGCTAGATCTGACAAGGGACTGAGTATGGGCTGATACATCTGACAAAGGGACTGAGTATGGGCTGATACATGTGACAAAGGGACTGAGTATGGGCTGATACATCTGACAAAGGGACAGAGTATGGGCTGTTAGATCTGACAAGGGGATTGAGTATGGGCTGATACATCTGACAACGGGTTGAGTACGGGCCGCTAGATCTGACAAGGGGTTGAGTACGAGCTGCTAGATCTGACAAGGGACTGAGTATGAACTGCATGCTACATCTGGCAAGGGACTGGGTATGAAGTGCTAGATCTGACAGGGGGCTGAGTATGGGCTCCTGGATCTGACAAGGGGCTAAGTATGGGCTGCTAGATCTGACAAGGGACTGTGTATGGGCTGCTGGATCTGACAAGGGACTGAGTATGAACTGCATTCTACATCTGACAAGGGACTGGGTATGAACTGCTAGATCTGACAAGGGGCTGAGTACGGGCTGCTGGATCCTGACAAAGGAGGAGCTGGGTATGGGGTGCTGGATCTGACAAGGGGTTGAATACGGGCTGTATGATCTGACAGGGAGCTGAGTACCTGCTGCTGGATCTGACAAGGAGCTGAATATGGGCTGCTAGATCTGACAAGGGACTGAGTATGAACTGCATGCTACATCTGACAAGGGACTGAGTATGGGCTGCTAGATCTGACAAGGGACTGAGTATGGGCTGATACATCTGATATGGGACTGAGTATGGGCTGCCAGATCGGACAAGGGACTGAGTATGGGCTAAAACATCTGACAAGGGACTGAATATGGGCTGCTAGATTTGACAAGGGACTGAGTATGGGCTGATACATCTGACAATAGATTGAGTATGGGCTGATACATCTGACAAGGGACTGAGTATCGGCTGATACATCAGACAAAGGACTGAGTATGGGCTGATACATCTGACAACGGATTGAGTACGGGCCGCTAGATCTGACAAGGGACTGAGTATGGGCTGCTAGATCTGACAAGGGACTGAGTATGGGCTGATACATATGACAACGGGTTGAGTATGGGCTGCTAGATCTGACAAGGGACTGAGTATGGGCTGCTAGATCTGACAAGGGACTGAGTATGGGCCGCTAGATCTGACAAGGGATTGAGTATGGGCTGATACATCTGACAACGGGTTGAGTACGGGCCGCTAGATCTGACAAAGGGTTGAGTACGAGCTGCTAGATCTGACATGGGACTGAGTATGGGCTGCTACATCTGACAAGGGACTGAGTATGGGCTGCTAGATCTTACAAAGGACTGAGTACGGGCTGCTAGATCTGACAAGGGACTGAGTATGGGCTGATACATGTGACAACGGGTTGAGTACGGGCCGCTAGATCTGACAAGGGACTGAGTATGGGCTGATACATCTGACATGGGACTGAGTATGGGCTGCTAGATCTTACAAAGGACTGAGTACGGGCTGCTAGATCTGACATGGGACCTAGTATGGGCTGATACATCTGACAAGGGACTGAGTATGGGCTGCTAGATCTTACAAAGGACTGAGTACGGGCTGCTAGATCTGACAAGGGACTGAGTATGGGCTGATACATCTGACAAGGGACTGAGTATGGGCTGCTAGATCTGACAAGGGACTGAGTATGGGCTGCTAGATCTGACAAGGGACTGAGTATGGGCTGCTACATCTGACAAGGGACTGAGTATGGGCTGCTACATCTGACAAGGGACTGAGTATGGGCTGCTAGATCTGACAAGGGACCGAGTATGGGCTGCTAGATCTGACAAGGGACTGAGTATGGGCTGCTACATCTGACAAGGGACTGAGTATGGGCTGCTAGATCTGACAAGGGACTGAGTATGGGCTGATACATCTGACATGGGACTGAGTATGGGCTGCTAGATCTGACAAGGGACTGAGTATGGGCTGCTAGATCTGACAAGGGACAGAGTATGGGCTGATACATCTGACAAGGGACTGAGTATGGGCTGATACATCTGACAAGGGACTGAGTATGGGCTGCTAGATCTGACAAGGGACTGAGTATGGGCTGATACATCTGACAAGGGACTGAGTATGGGCTGCTAGATCTGACAAGGGACTGAGTATGGGCTGCTAGATCTGACAAGGGACTGAGTATGGGCTGCTAGATCTGACAAGGAGCTGAGTATGGGCTGCTGGATCTGACAAGAAGCTGAGTATGGGCTGCTAGATCTGACAAGGAGCTGAGTATGGGCTGCTGGATCTGACAAGGGACTGAGTATGGGCTGCTACATCTGACAAGGGACTGAGTATGGGCTGCTAGATCTGACAAGGGACTGAGTATGGGCTGCTAGATCTGACAAGGGACTGAGTATGGGCTGCTGGATCTGACAAGGGACTGAGTATGGGCTGCTAGATCTGACAAGGGACTGAGTATGGGCTGCTAGATCTGACAAGAAGCTGAGTATGGGCTGCTACATCTGACAAGGGGGGCTGAGTATGGGCTGCTGAGATCTGATCACAAGGGCTGAGTATGAGCTGCTAGATCTGACAAGGGACTGAGTATGAACTGCTAGATCATCTGACAAGGGACTGAGTATGAACTGCTAGATCTGACAAGGGGCTGAGTATGGGCTGCTAGATCTGACAAGGGGCTGAGTATGGGCTGCTAGATCTGACAAGGGGCTGAGTATGGGCTGCTAGATCTGACAAGGGGCTGAGTATGAACTGCATGCTACATCTGACAAGGACTGGGTATGAACTGCTAGATCTGACAAGGGGCTGAGTACGGGCTGCTGGATCTGACAAGGGGCTGAGTATGGGCTGCTGGATCTGACAAGGGGAGCTGAGTATGGGCTGCTGATCTGACAAGGAGCTGAGTATGGGCTGCTGGATCTGACAAGGGGCTGAGTATGGGCTGCTAGATCTGACAAGGGACTGAGTATGAACTGCATGCTACATCTGACAAGGGACTGGGTATGAACTGCTAGATCTGACAAGGGGCTGAGTATGGGCTGCTGGATCTGACAAGGGGCTGAGTATGGGCTGCTGGATCTGACAAGGGGCTGAGTATGGGCTGCTAGATCTGACAAGGGACTGTGTATGGGCTGCTAGATCTGACAAGGGGCTGAGTATGAACTGCTAGATCTGACAAGGGGCTGAGTACGAGCTGCTGGATCTGACAAGGGGTTGAATACGGGCTGTATGATCTGACAAGGAGCTGAGTACGGGCTTCTGGGTCTGACAAGGAGCTGTGTACGGGCTGCAGTATCTGAGAAGGGGTTGAATACGGGCTGTATGATCTGACAGGGAGCTGAGTACGTGCTGCTGGATCTGACAAGGAGCTGAGTACGTGCTGCTGGATCTGACAAGGGGTTGAGTACGGGCTGCAGGATCTGACAAGGAGCTGAGTACGGGCTGTTGGATCTGACAATGGGTTGAGTACCGGCTGCAAGTTCAAACGAGGGACTGGTATGGGCTGCCTGATCTACCACAAGGGGTTAAGTAACGGTTGCTTGAGGTGAGAAGCAGCTGAGAATTGTCTTATCAAATAAAGATAAGACTCTGTGTAAGACAATCTTCCGAATGACAGTGTGGCTTTCCAATGTAAACGAATCTCTGTTTTACCTAAAACACAATATTGTTTTGTACAGCTTTGTACAATGCATGCGAGCGGGTTAGTTTGGTTTAAACAATGTTTCAGTTACATCAAGGCGTGTCATTCTGAGGGGAAGAGCCAAAGGTGGTCCAACCCAACGCGGGTATAAGCCTGACAAACCGAAGTTATACCGAAGTATTAAAGACAGATTCTTGGACTCCAACCCATGACCATAGGATTCTGGCTCCGATAACTCTGCACAACGGACTGTGGCACTCCTCTCATCGTCATTAGATCTAATAAGACCTATATCTTATAGGTCTGCTTAATGGGGAAATTCGTGCTGATATTGTTTAACCTGACGTTCAGGGTGTTTAGTTTGCAGTTTTATCGGAGGAGAATTTGTTCTCTTATATGGGACTGTAATGACCAGAGACAATTTGTCAATAATTATTTCAAAGGTTTTGTAGTTTTAAATTACTGTATTGTTCATTGTTCCTGATCCATCAAACATTCAAAGTATGGCAAATGTATTACATTCGTAAATGCTTGTGTCATGTTTTGATTGGGCGCGGTGGGGTAGCCTAGTGGTTAAGGTATTCACTCGTCACACTGAAGCCCCGGGTTCAATTCCCCACATGGGTACAATGTGTTAAGCCCATTTCTAGTGTACCACTCACTCACTCACTCACTCACTCACTCACTCACTCACTCACTCACTCACTCACTCACTCACTCACTCACTCACTCACTCACTCACTCACTCACTCACTCACTCACTCACTCACTCACTCACTCACTCACTCACTCACTCACTCACTCACTCACTCACTCACTCACTCACTCACTCACTCACTCACTCCTCACTCACTCACTCACTCACTCACTCACTCACTCACTCACTCACTCACTCACTCACTCACTCACTCACTCACTCACTCACTCACTCACTCACTCACTCACTCACTCACTCACTCACTCACTCACTCACTCACTCACTCACTCACTCACTCACTTTGGCTCTGGTGTGTGGTATCAGAAATCCAGAACATTGGTCGCCTTGTTTCCTGGTTATGTTAAAACATTGACTTTTGTGGAACCACCACGAATCTTCTCAACACTGGAGGAAATGCAAACAAATGTTTTCATTTCGCACAAGTTTATTCTTTAAACAAGCAGTTTACATATGATAAGCTTTGGCGAAACTTCAACCCTAAGAGGCAATATTTTTCCCATTTCTATTTTTAATTTTCTTTGTATGCTTATGATTCACGAGGCAAATGAAAGCAAGCAAGTGTAAACATGTTTTATACCCTTATATTTGTCTCTATAACGATTTAAAGTGGGAGGTTGCGAAACAAATGCATGGCGGATACATTGCAGCCAAAGTTAATCTCAACTTGAATACATATTTGCATCTCTTAAGGTAAAGCGCTTTGTTTCACAATGAGTGTCAACATCCCTTGACATTTTACAAACAAAGCTAACATTGTTAAAACAACCAAATACACAGAGGTGTTGAGGATTGATCACACGATATATGACTTTTCAAACAATGTAATTTCGTTATAACACATCATGTGGTACAAGGGTGTTTTCATATAACGATCCCGACATTTCTTATCAAGTACTGTAGTATCAATATTTGCGTACGTGTACCATTCTTTGATAAAATGAAATGACACAAACCAGTGTCAGGAGAGTGCAAGAAATCCTGGCAATATCTATCAACTAATTCTTCAACCACCTTTTTTTCAAAACACATTTTTTCATTATTTTCATCTTGTCAAGAGAATGATTTCTTTTTCTTTTTCCCAAAGCCGAGGCCATAATATATTTCAAGTATTTACTATAAAATCTATTTTTGTCAAAACCCATCCCCCAATCCCTCCCCCAATCCCATCCTCCCTATCCCCATCCTCCATCCCCATCCCCTACCCCATCCTAATTTCCCCATACATCCCCACCCTTATCCTAATCCACCGATCCCCATTCCCCAATCCCCATCCTCCGATCCCCATCCCCATATCCCGATCCCCATCCTCTGATCCCCATTCCCATACCAACTTCCACACCCATCCTCATCCCAATCCCCATCCTCCGATCCCCATTCCCCAATCCCATCTCCCGACCCCCCATCCCCATATCCCGATCCCCATCCTCTGATCCCCATCCCCATACCATTCCCCACTTCCCCAGCCATACCGATCATATAGATGTGTTTTTCAATAGTAATGGGTCCTAATTTACAAAATCATCCTGAAAAGTAGAATTTGAGAGAATTGAGGAATGTGTCATTGATAGATTTAACCGATGAAATTCCAAATGAAATATATAAACATTAATGATTCTCACCAAATGGCAATACCTTTTTTCTGTAGTTTCGTGTTTCGGAGTTTCTCCATGGTGAAAGACGTTGTACGTATTATACATAATTTTGTTTACATTTCTTAAAAGCCTGTTCACATTTCTGTTAAGGGGGACACAAACATCAACATTTCAACAGAAGGGAACTCCCCATTACTTTTTGTACTATTTTTAATTATGTTAGTCTTCATCTTGTTTCGAAATGCGGTAGGTGAAGCACGAGAAACACGATTATAACGTATGTCGCTGTAATGCACGCCCCATTACGTCTATGTATATTGGTACATATTCATAATGATTCCACAAACACACATTGCAACAATGAGTAGGTTTCCGATACATCTATCAGCATGACTGGTCAGACTCCAAGCTGCTCTTTCACCGTAAAGTTGACCAATACGTTTTGTCCTAACGCTCGCTGTATTTGTACTGGTAGACTGTGGCACGAAGCTAGCAGACGTTACCTCGCCTATTTTCGAAAAGGTTATCTCCCCTTTACTTGCAGGAGTTGTCTCCCCTTCATCTGCGTATTGAGGTTCATCCGTGCTTCTGAAAGTTGCATGGGAAGTAAGTGTTTCATCAGCTGCATCTGTGGTCTGTGGCATCTTGGTTGTGAAAAATATGTCCCAGTTTCTCAATGGCGTTGTCTCCAACTTTCTAGTATAGTGAGTCTCTCTTTTTCCCATTGCCTCACTTTTTCTTGGGGGCGTTATCCAGCTCGGGCGTGGAGAAGTTGCAGACTTTGTTCTTGAAGAAGCTTTCTTTATTGTTGCCATGTATTGATCAATCACCCCTCTAGCCAGTGACATCTTTCGAGATGGTTCTCTGACGCGTGTTCTTGATGGAGGTGCTTCTGTTGGACCCCTCACTCTTCTTCTTGACGGAGGTGCCATTGGTGGGCCTTCCACCCTTGTTTTAGGCAGAGACGCCTTTACTGGGCTTCTCACCTGTGTTCTTGGGGGAGATGTCTTTACTGGACCCCTCACTGTTGTTCTTGACGGTGGTGCCCTTGGTGGAGCTTCAACTCTTGTCTTAGACGGAGACGCTTTCACTGGGTTTCTCACTTGTGTTCTTGGGGGAGATGCTTTTATAGGGCTTCTATTCCATGTTCTTGGAGGAAATGACTCTGTGTGGCTTGACTTTCGTGGTCCCAGCTGGTAAGCCTCTACTGCGTCTTTGTGCAGTGGTTTTCGAGTCGATGCGTCTGTAGGGCCATCGGAAAGTTTGTTCTTGACAACATTCAGCAAAGGATAGGATCCATTTTTGCAGTAGTTGTTTGGATCGTCAAAACTGAGCTCCCAAAACATGACTCCTCCAAGTTGTTCCTCCTTAGCGTACTGAAGCTGAAATCATCGCAGATTAATACTTTATATGTACTTCCTAGAACAGAATCTGTACTCACCTATTACCATAATTCCATTACTAATGTTCTATTGTAACTTATTTTGTTCATTCTCTGTACCATTTCTTCTAAAAACTCACTTTACCGTCAGTCTTACACAATCCATTCATGTGGTTCTCACGATCTCAAATTAACTGCCCTAAGGCTTGATTTTCATTAGCCAGTCTGTTTGATTTGCTACTCTACAGAGTCTATGTAGAGCTGGCAGTATAAATAACGTGACAATCAGTCCCCTTACTTACCATTTAAAAACTGACACACAAATGAATGGCTTTTCGATCGAAAGGATATCATGGTGATGGTAGGTTTCTTTCATATCAACCACTCCATGGGATATGCTTATTTCCTTTCCCTTATCTCAAGGTATGATTAGTATGTAAATGTTATGAAAAGGAAGGGCATTTACTTTGAGCTCGCAGGAACCACGGGAAAGGATCCAAGGTTCATTCATGTTTTACCGAAGTGCCGAAAACCTAGAGATATAAAGGATCTCAGTCGACAAGAACTAAAATATTATTAGTCCGGACAAAGCAGCCACACAAACAAACACACTCACGCATATCATCGTGACACCATCCCCATTTCACCACACGTCACCTCAATCTCCTATTCCACACTTGCTGGTGTGTCGTCAGTGTGGCTGGTGGTTTACAGCCTGACGTAAATTTTAACTCTTGCACGCACTAACGCACTCACGCACTCACGCACTCACGCACTCACGAACTCGCTCACTCAACATATCTACTTTGCAACGTCTCGCCGGCCGGTGAGAGACTAACGCTGCTGGGTCATATCGGGTCTCACTTGACTGCTGCACGTGCAGGGGCACTCGGGTGTTTCCGCCACGTTCCCGAACACAGCCGAGTTAAACAAAATAAATCAGTTCAATCATTTTCCTCCCTAAATCAATATATTATCCGCCTTACCTTGAGGCCGAAGCTGTACTGGTCATCGTAGCCTACCCACTGGTCGCCTTTGTAGGCGTAGGGCACCTGCTGTTCCTCGTCCCAAACTCGAGTCCAACCCGTCCTGAAGGACAGGCAGATCTTAAAGCAAGTAGAAACATACCCTTCAGATCACTTGCATCAAGTTATGACGCAATTTATTTATTTCATTTATGCAATAAAAACCATTCAGCGGTACTATTGATAATCAGTCAGCGGTCTATTGGACACAGCTTCTGCCTAAAAAGAAGAATGCTGGAGGTTCGAATTTCTTTGCTGCTTCATACAGAAATATATTTTCTGTACCCTGCCTCAGAATCAAGGTAGTGAAACAATGACCGGCCCCCTCGAAGACAGCACAATATGTTTGACTGGGGCATCCATGTTTATCTTCTGAGTGAGTTCAAAGACTTATCCATAGATACATCGCCTCCCACAACGATTCCAGTATCACAGAACATGTGTGTCGATTTGCAGGTAAATTACAGCCGTCAATCTCAACGGTAACATGAGATACATAAGAGAGAACATTTCGTTTATCTACAGTTTCATTGTATGTGACTTAAGAAATATGAGCAACATCTTTTTAATATTTTTTACCTATATTGCAGTAGCAATAGTAGCTGTACAAAGAACAATTACTGCAGAAAACATATAACGTCAGAGAACAATGGGTTTCGGTCGCTCACAATGCATTTGGCGTTAAAGGCAAGGGTTGTGAAAATAGATCGCTGAAATTGATAGTAATAACGTCGAGTTTCGCGAGAAAGGTAAGCAGTGTATTACGCTGCACTATTGGAATCAACTGAGAATCACACAGTTTTAATTAACCACAGCAGTACTCATCTCAAGTAGGACATTCTCCAGTAAACAGGAGAATTATATTGTTGTGTCGAAGTAGTTACCTCTGGCAGGAGTAGTCTCCCTCTTCGTTTGTAAAGTATTCCAGGGCGACCCCCTCCGACCTTGACGGGGGCCCCGACGGTGTGGTTGTTCTTGTCGCTGAGGGTGAAGCTGGCTCCTGCAGCCGTCATCCCCATGATCACCTTGCTCCTGTCTGCTCCGCGGCTGATCCAGACATTCACTGCGTACTCCTGCATCAGGGTGGCACAATGAGAGTTGGGTTTAAATCATCTCTGAACAGTAATTTACATACACCAGAGATAGTCAGCTTAATGGGGAAAGTGAGTTTGGTTTAAAGCCCCTTTTAACAATATTCCAGCAATATCAATGCGGGGGACACCAGGAATGGGCTTCACACATTGTACTCATGTGGGCCTTTGAGCAGTGTTCCATTCACATCCCATCCGTAAAATTTGGAAGAAGTCTCAAAAGAACTAAGGTCTAACCGATTGCCATTCTGATGCAGCCCAAAAGGAGTCAGGTAGAAAAAATTTAGGATTCTAGACGACCAGATGATGACTACGTGTATACAAAATCTAAGATATGCTATGTTGTTAAAACAGAGTATATTTTGTCCTGTTTGCAATTTTAGGCCCAGATGTCATGGATGAATTGATCCAGGGGTTCAGATTATGTATCTTAAAATAATATTCATATTTTATTCTCTTTTTACCCTCTGCTCTAATATTAAATGTTATGTTTAATATGTATTGATGTTGTATTGTGATGTATTGATTCATAGAGTACATGCTTAACTATTGATACGTGTGAGTGAGTGAATTTAGTTTTACGCCGCTTTTAGCAATATTCCAGCAATATCACGGGGAGGGACACCAGAAATGGGACATTGTACGAATCGAACCCGGGTCTTCGGCGTGACGAGCGGATACTTTAACCACTTGGCTACCTCGCTGCCCTTCTTGATACGTGTACTACTTATACTACTATAATATGCAATTGCAATTTTAAAAGTTTGACCCTTATATGAAAATGCACTAAAATCCCTTTACTTTTATAAATACCGAAATATTTATATCGTGTATCATACTGTACATAAGCACATTACAAATTGATCATTTCCGTATATTGACACTTTTTCCATGGAATTATATTATTTGTAAGTCTGAATGTATTTCACCATGCATTATCGACTTTTACCAAGTCCTAAGCGCTAAATTACAAAGGATTTCGAAACTTGAATGTTTTAAACTGTTTTTAAAGTGGGGCCCTGGTTCGATTCCCCACATGGGCACATTGAGTAAAGCCCATTTCTGGTGTCCCCGCCGTGATATTGCTGGAATATTGCTAAAAGCGGGGTAAAACCTAATTTACTCACTCACTTAAAGTGGCGACACCACACCAACACCACAGAAATACAAAACAATGTCCAAGACCAAATTTTCTTTTTGTTTGTGTGTTGTTTAACGCTATACTCAGCAATATTCCAGCTATATGGTCAGTAAATCATCGAATCTGGACCAGACAATCCAGTGATCAACATCGATCTACGCAATTGGGATGTGCTGGCATGTGTCAACCAAGCCAGTGAGCCTGACCACCCGATCCCGTCCATGGCCAATGGATTATATCATGTAGATTTACTACTTATCAGACTGGGTACAGAAGCTGGGCACTGACCACGTTGTAGGCGGGGGAGAAGTGGATGTGCTTCTTGGCTCGGAGGGGGCTGTTGAAACCGGCCACCCGGCTCCACGTCCCGTAGAAGTCAAACGTCATCACGAAGATGTAGTCCACATACCTGGAAAGCCACAGGCATTATTTGTGTTATATAATTATTTTATACAAGTGTATTATAACAAAACGATTGATTTTTTAAATTTAAATAATCATACACACAAATGAGTGTAGAATGTAGACAGCAGTTGCACGCCTTATGAATCGTATTTTCTTCTGAACTAAATAGTGTATATCCTTTCCTAGTGAGTTTCAATGATGCGGTTTCTTGAAATTGTGTTTTAACCACAAATACTGTTCAATACATACTAATTTTATAATCAGCGGCAACAGAAGAGTGAGTGAGTGACTTGAGCTTAACTACACTTGTAAATATCAATTAGTGGCATAATATAGGCCTGTCATATTAAGTTTGTGTAAAACAACAATTGGTAAAGCAGGAATGATACAAACAAATTATGGATCACAATCGAAGCGGATATGAATCCTCATGTGGTCACAGAACGGAACTCTGCACAAAGACAAGGCACCTTACCCCACTTTGCCAACCCATCCTGCGCAACACGACAAGCTGATCATGCATGAGAGAACTTATTTTTGTATTGCGTATTTGTGTATTGGTTTTTCGTGCAGTTAAGCACGCAATTTCACTGCAATATAGTACAGTACTTACTTGTTGATGGCCGCTACGTCATAGCCGGCACTTATTTTATCTACACCGGCAGCAGCAGCTATGGTCAACAACAATGGCTCCCGATCTTTCGCCTCGTTGTCGAATTCGTTCCTTAAAGTCTGTAATAGAAGAATATCGAACATATTTTATAACAATCGGCACATCGGCAATATTTCCGCCATATCGTGACTTAAAAAGTTATAAATTGATAATAAATGGAATTAAATTAAAAAACCTGTCGACGAAGGACAGTAAAATAACTAGATAATCACAGATAGAAACGTAAAACCAGTAATCAAATCTGAAACATTTTAACTATAGAGGACAACACAATATAAAAGCAGGATATATATTGTCAACAACTGAAGGTAGATCACCATACCAGTGACCATGGGGACTTACAGTGCCTTTGTTACCTGGAATATATATGAAGAGGTGTGGATCAGCAGTGCACAGAAGAACATATGTATAGAAATACCTCCTCGTCTTTCCCATGTTATATTATGTCATTATTTAGTGGATTTCTCTGTCTGTGTCTGTGTCTGTGTCTGTGTCTCTGTGTGTGCTTGTATGTGTGTGTAATATATGTGTGTGTATATATATAAGAAATCCCCAAATATATATCAACTTATCTGTTGGGATAGTTCCCTCTGTAAATATTTTCGTAATTTCCGCTGTCCATCATTTCACAAATATCACTTATATATATTCTTCCTCTGTAGTTTACTCACACCAGGAATTGAAAGAACATCAAATCAGGTCGATATACAGAGTGGAGGGGGGATTAATCCGTTGACGTCACATCCCAAATAACACGTTTACATGCATATTGTCACACGTTCGGGGCATTTGATATATTTTTTATGAGACATGAAAATTCTCTTTAAAATTGTTTCTTCTGGCAGACAGATTTAAAAACACTTTTTTGTCCTTGAGGACCTTACTCTCTTGAAATCTAAGCAGAACTAACCTTGAGAAAATTTGTAAACCGAGATTTTGTTGAAGTATAAGGATATTCCCAGTCAACATCTAAACCATCAAAGCCATGTTCCCTCAAGAATCTGATGGTGTTGTTGGCAAACTGTTGCAAGGATTCTGGCGTAGCTGACAACGTGGAAAAATCCTCGGCAATGCCAGGGGTTTCACCGCCAACTGACAACAGAGTCTTCAGGTTCGGATTCTTCGACTTGAGGTGGTTAAACTTCTTATAGTTGCCCCAGACACCGTTCCTGCTGTGTTCGTTTACTGGGTCTATGGCAACTACAGACTTGGACGCTACGTCGAGTTTTGCGAAGGCGTATATCAGGTGAGTGCACAGGTAAGGATCGATTTCCTTCACAGGAAGACGAACTTTGGTGAGACTGGTTTGAGCAGACCAGCTGGTGAAATAACAGGCGGTGATGTATCCAGCGACTGAAAACACAAAAGACGTGACATCGACGTGCTTACATTTCATTTCAGTGTTAGAAATTGTGAGGATTAACAGTTAATATTATTTTCAGATGACTATTTTAGTGAATTCATGCCTATGTATTTATAATATTTACGTAACACATGTTATATTTGGGATTACACTTTCTCTGTGAAAATGAGTGTGTTTAGTTTTACGCCGCATTCCAGTTGTATGGCGGTGGTAAATTAACGTGAATATACACATTTCCTTGCCGCCCACTTCTCTAATCAAGCTGGATTTCAAACGCTGGTGTGTTCATATCGAGCCAAGATAACAAACTATGGCGCGACCAACGCCCTCGATGACACATACAACAGTAATATCGCTATTAGAATTACGTTCATTGTGGGCGTGTTAAAGTAAACGACATACCATGAGTGAGTCAGTCGGGCTTAACATCAGACTCAACATTTGTCATTGCATATCACAGTTTGTTACAGTCCGTTTGAGTCAGAAACGGAACGATGAATTGCAAATTTTAGCATTGTACAAAATTGCCATATAAATAGAAATAGTACACATGTTTATCATTTACTAATACCCAACAGCTTTCTTATATTTGAAAATTTTCCGGACTCCACCAAAAAAGTTGTTTAAGAAACTATCATCATTGAAAACGCAAAAGTTGTTATCTGTCGCGGCGGGGTGAAACCGCAGAAACGGAACAGCCACTATCTCGTCGTGCACAGGATACACATGCCTGATGAAACATGAAGTTGAATGCTGACGTGAAACAGTTGATGATTAAAGTGTACGATTTTTTCCGAGCTGAAGCCGAAAGGGGCAAACCATTTTATGCCATTAATAAATTCCGTAAGCGGGCAGCAAAAGCTTTAGGAGTATCAGCAAGGGTACTGACAAATGTTCTGGAACACAAACATTGTGAGGGTGGTGCGAAGCAGGTAGGGGTCGTGTCAAAATCACACAAATTAAAACATTTGGACAACTTTCAAAAGAACCTTGTAAGGCAGTCTATCAACAAGCTCTCTTCTGAAAACAAAAACATGTCGCTGAAAATTTTTAAAAAGCATTTGAAGCAAGAACACAACCTCAGAGTATCAAAGTACACACTCTGGCGACTCTTACACTCTTTCGGGTATCGTTATAAGAAAATGTCGAGGGAAAATAGGTCAGTACTCTGTGAACGCCCTGATATCGTTCGCTTGAGAAATAATTTTCTCAGGGTGATAAAGAAGAAGCGCGAGGAAGGGTTCGAGCCAGTGTACTTGGACGAGACCTGGGTCAATGCCTCACACACTGCCAGCAGTCAGTGGGTACCCGATAGGGGTGATAAGGGGTCACGTAGACAGCTGCCTCTAGGGAAAGGAGCGAGACTAATCATTCTCCATGCTGGTTGCTCCAGCAAAGGCTTTCTCCCAGGCTGCGACTTGGTATTCAGGGCAAAGTCCACAGATAACAGAGACTACCATTCCGAGATGAATGGTGCGGTTTTCCTCGATTGGGTTAAAAACAAGTTGGTACCAGCTCTGCCAGAGAAGTCTTTTATCGTAATGGACAATGCCCCATACCACAGCGTGCAGGACCCCGACAGTAAAGCCCCGACATCGAACAGTCGAAAAGGTGATATGATATCATGGCTCGACAAATTTCAGATCGCACGGCCTTCAAAGGCAACGAAGCCTCAGCTATATGAGATCATAAAAACCCACAAAGGTGAACCTTTCTACAAAGTTGACAGTTACATAAAAAGTAAGGGTCACGATATTCTGCGACTTCCACCCTATCACTGTGACCTTAACCCCATTGAAATGATATATGGGGTATTATCAAAGGAGATGTTGCCAGATCAAACACAACTTTTAGATTACGTGACGTAGAGGTTTTGGTTAAGGAATCCCTTAACAAAATCACGACTGAAACTTGGCAAAACTGTGTCAACAAGGTAGCTAACGTCATTGAACAAGGTTACTGGTCTCGGGATGGCTTACAACAGGCAACTGTGGCACCACTTGTCATCCCTTTAAGTCGTGACTATGACACTACGACAGACGAGGAACCGACAGGTCTCCCGGAATAGATTTTGAGATGTCCCCCGCCATGACTGGCTGTTCCGATTCTGCGGTTTCACCCCGCCGTGACAGATAACAACTTTTGCGTTTTCAATGATGATAGTTTCTTTAACAACTTTTTTGGTGGAGTCCGGAAAATTTTCAAATATAAGAAAGCCGTTGGGTATTAGTAAATGATAAACATGTGTACTATTTCTATTTATGTGGCAATTTTGTACAATGCTAAAATTTGCAATTCATCGTTCCGTTTCTGACTCAAACGGACTGTAACTGAATGTACAATGCAAAGCTTGAAGTGCCATCACTTGATAGTCTGATCTAGACTCGATTATTTACTGACACGGTGAGTGAGTGAGTTTATTTTACGCCGCACTCAGCAATATTCCAGCTATATGGCGGCGGTCTGTAAATAATTGAGTCTGGACCAGACAATCCAACAGCATGAGCATCGATATACGCAATTGGGATACGATGACATGTATCAACCAAGTCAGCGAGCCTGACCACCCGATCCAGTTACTCGCCTCTAACAACAAGCATGGGTTGCTGAAGACCAATTCTAACCCGGATCTTCACAGGTTCCTCTTTAAAGTGCAGATTCTAGTACTTTTGTTGAGTTAAGACCTATCCGGGATTCAAACCCAACTTTGTCAACGGAATTTGAGATGAACATTTTGGTGAACTCATGCCGAGAAATGTATCATCTTAACATAGGAAACAACAAGTGTGTTCTATATTGATGAAAGGGAGTTTGTTTATTCTCAGAAGGATATCCGCAGGCCGCATTGAAGCGGAAGACGTTTAAAGATAGTACGCGTCATGAACGAGATTTTCAAAAATAGCAAATGTAACTGGCGCGAGGTAAGTATAAAGTGTCTGATTGCCGTGCCCATGTCAAACTGCGGCATGGTATCTTAATAACACATTTTGGGAACTGTAATTGGGTATCTACTGCCAAAAACTATTACGTAGCCGAAATATATATATCACGGAATTGTAAGCAAGGTAGAAAATATGTTTGGGACTATACTTCCCTCTTTTTTGACCTCACCTAACATACAGAAAATCAAAGCCTAAGATGAGCATTTATTGCGTTAAGTTATTGGTTGGCTTTGTCTGTGAATACCTCACCTTTGCAGCTCTCTGGGACTGATACCAGTATCAAGGCCACTAACAGGACGATCGTGGTCATTGTCGCTTTTGAGGCTGAAAACAAAATGTCACGAAAGGTTCAAATGACAAGAATAAGAAATCACTTCGATTACAAGAAGACTAACATCTAGTCTCTGAAATGAACATATTCCACTCAAAAACAGTTCCTAAATTATATTTATGAAAAATATTGAAAGGGGGGTGAGAAACCTTTTTTCAGGGTCCGATAATCTATACTTGCCACATGTTCTAGACTTCCATGGTCTGTATTGAGTATATTTGTTCCAAGGTTCTATGTTCTAGACCTACGTGGGCTGTATTGGTATACTAGTTTCAGGGGCTGTATGACAAACTCCGATAATCTAAATGATCTTTTAAAGTTAATACTTCCTTTATTATTTACAGAAGAAACGAATAATCAACAGGTGTTACTGAACTAATATTTTATCAAAAGTAAGAATGATGCTAATTTTACGTGTGAATTATATCCGGTAACCTCGACCTCATGAGCAAAATGGACACAGGCTTGAAAAAATAATCACTAAAAGTATACCAGGTGTATAGATATCCTATTGCGGTAAGGGAGAATATTCTGAGCCTTCAGTGGTCTTCAGTGATCCATTGATGTAAACTTACGTACGGTTTTTTTTTATGTATTTTTTTAAATCGTAAATAAGTCACAAATATTGTGTATGTGTTGCTAATTTACAGACCGCCGCCATATAGCAGGAATATTGCTCAGAGCGGCGCAAAACTGAACTCACTCACTCACTCAATCAGAACAGGAAGACCGAGATTGACCATCCCGCAAGATGACCATCGAATGCGCATTCCTCATCAGCTCAATCTGATGCTCGCAGTGACGTTGTAAGCATCAACAGCATTGGGTCACCGCATCAACAGGAACACAGTGATGCTGTCGGTATCGGGTCTACCGACCATTTCGGGACATATCATTAATCCATCAACATCGACCGAATCGTCTACGTGAAGCGAGGAAGCTGAGACGCTGGCAGCCTCTCGCATTGTGTACGTCTGTGTTGTTTGGGAAACATGTTCACAATGTTTATGACTTTTAAGTCACAATCAAATCCTTTTCAAACTATTTACGTTGGGGTTTTTTAGTAATATAATCTTGAGAGCTCCAGGTGGGTACTTTCTTCTGTACCTCAGTTTAGTTTTCACCACAATTTTGCATTTTACTCCAATAAAATAATGGAGACTGGTTATTTCCTGTTGTGGACGTTTTATATCATATTGAATGTGAGGTCCTTATTACTTACTTGCCAATTCTGCCCTATTCCATTTTGTACAGTGAACGATTGAGTTTCGATTAACGCTGCATTGAACTGTATTCCAGATAGTTCAGAACTAGAGCTGTGACGATATATATATCGTAGTATCGATAATCGTGATACTTCATCTGACGATAAATATATCGATACTTTTTTTCGTATCGTGATATGTATCGCTGACCTAAAAATTGGTAATTTCACTAGTAATTGACGGGTTATGTCAAATTTTACACTGTTACTTGCTATCAAAAAATACGTTTTTTAAAGAAAATAACTAAAGGTAGCATATCATGATATGCATCGAATCAAATCGTATCGTTCCAAGATATCGCGATATGTATCGTATCGTGAAATTTCTGTATCGTCACATCTCTATTCAGAACGTGTCAGGGTGATGTGGGAGGAAAATGATACAGGTCTAATCAATAGACCCATACATATATGTATATGGTGAAGGACGCGAGCATGGGTATGGCGGTGACAAACCTCAACCATAATCGGGTCGAAACAACATTCGAACTTCAATTGTAGGCTTCTGACGTGCACAAGGGACCTCAGACAACTGGGCCACCCGTGTCCAGTAAGCAAAGGAGGTTAAATAACACTGACAGAACACTGGAGGTAACAATTTGATACGTTTAATATTTTAGACGTATCAAATGGGAATTTATGATATCTTACTGGGCCTAGATTTTCGAAGCTCTCTTAGCGCTAAGATAGTCGTAAGTGCTATACATTAACATTAATTTACGACTATCTTAGCACTAAGAGAGCTTCGAAAATCTAGGCCCAGGTTTGTAGTGGTTATGTTAGAAAATAATTTGAGAATAATTACAGTAGTGATTTCTTATGATGTAGAAATGGGTTCGTTAACCTTATTTGGCAGTAATATGAAGATATGTTTAAAGGTAATTGTATACCTACTTGCATGAATAACTTGATGGACACAATTTGATTGTTGATTTGATTGATTTGAATGAAACCTTAATGGTTTGTCTGAACAATTATATATTGAAATTAGCAGGTTATCCACAGTGTGCACACAAGCTCTATCACCAAAACTTCATTCTTTGTAAGATGTAGAAGTAAGAATATTGTCCACGAAATTTGTACTTCTGTTGGTCCGATGACTGGACAGCCGCCAGGAAGAGGGACTGCAAGGCCGATTTCGGTGATTGCTTATATGTATCTCACAAAGTATTGTCGAAATTGAAAGAATAGTATACCAATGTGATTACCGTCGAAATAGCATGAGTGATATAGATTTATAAGTGTTGAAATGGAACGAAAATTGTGAAAATGTGAAAGTAGTTTTGGAATTAAATACACAATATTAAAATGTGATAAGCGTCGAAGTGAAATGAAATACATGTATGTGAAAGTAGTTTCGGAATTAAATTAATAGTACGAAAAAGTGATAAGCGTCGAAATGGAATGAAATATGTGAAAAGGTGATAGTCATGTCGGAATTGAATGAATGACATGAAAATGTGATAAGCGTCGAAATGCAGCGAAATTTTGAAAATGTGATTGTAGTTTCGGAATGAAATGAACAATATAAAACTGAAAGCATAGTCGAAATTGAATGAATAAAAGAAAAATATGATAGCAGTGTCGGAATGGAATCAGTGATCTAAACAAAGGACTGATAATTTACGACTTTCGTTAGACAAAATTATCAAACGAATTCATGAAATATTTTTTGCTGACAAAGCTTTGTACCTATAAATGAGATATTATAGTAAGAACGGGCCCTGTAACAATGAATTAATGGCAAGTATCCCTCTGGAATGTACCATCAATACTTGCCGAAGCTCATGTTATGAATAATATTTCAATGACCGTTACTATCTCCCTTTTGAACCTACCTCTGTGCAGGGTGCTGCAGTGTGGTCCTTACTTCTCCACGGCCATATAAAACATGGCGTCTTCACATCCAGCATCTGAATGCCCCTATCGGAGCCGGGGAAGCCAGAGATCGTTCTATCGACATTTTGTAGCTTGTGAAAACAAACCACGCCATCGTGTTGATCGTACTTGTTTAAACTGTTGGTGTTTTGTGAGGCATAATGCAGGACAGGTTGTTTATTGTGTAAGTGTTGTGACCAGGAGTTTGCTCTGGCAGGTCTTGTTATAGTTTCTGATGGGCAGTCGTACGTGGACTTTCTCGGTGAAGCAGGTAGACATGTTTCTCAGATTGAACACTCTCGGCGACTCAACGTGCACCAGGAAAAAAACACTAATGCGACATGTGGCTTTTTGTGATGTCAGTTTTTCGACGGCAAAGAAGAGTTTGTATAATCAATTCAGAGATTATAAGAGTCATGACCAGAGGGGGGGTCTGTACCTCTCGTGATCGTTAATTGGGCCCAGGATGTTTACTGCATACAACGTGCTGGTGATTGCAATGGACGACACACATGCATGGCTAAACGTGGATTTACTCAAACTCCAACAACCAGCTATCGATAAAACTGTGGTGATAACTTGTACAATTATGTAAGGCCAAATGAATTAAGTTGCTTGATTTACGAATGTTTTAAAATAACATATACCCGAAGGAGGGAATGATGAATAAATAGACATAAGTAAACTGTGAACTTAGAAAATAACCTGACTTGAATATCGCCCGAAATAGTGGTGGAAATTATATAAACAGATGGCTGAACATCAGTGTGGACACCACGTATTTGCGGTAAGAGAAAGCTTTAGATTAAAGTATCTCTATAAGGTAACAATTACCGGGCTAATATTGATTGTGCCTAATACTTTTTTGTGCCGCGTACACACGCGCATACACACATGCACATTCAAACACACTCTCAAACACACACTCGTTCACACACTCTCTCGCACATACATATACGCAATGCCATACAAGTACATACACACAGTCACGCACGCACGCACACAAACCTCTTTTGTTATGTTGGTTTTATAAAACAGGCGTGGGATTGGCCATTTGTTTAAAACCTGTAAGTTACTTTGGGAAGTTTTAGCATGTTGCATATGACATATGTATTTATTAATAATTAATGAGTTCCGTTCACTATTACGTCACAGTTTTGGTATAGGATCCTGCGATGGACGCTACCGGGGATCGAACCGCCGGCCTTTCGCTCTCCAGGCAAACACTTCATCAACCAAGATTTAATAATGAGTTTGGATAACACCAAGTAAAGCCTCAGCAATATGAAGAAGATTTATTGATATAAAATGACATGAAAGATCAAAACAATGGTAGTTTCCAAGTATGCAAACAAAAATAACAGAAAACAAATTCAATAAATTACAGAAAATCGAACACATATACTACATGGTAAGGTATTTGATATCAACAGATTCTAGGCAATATACATGAAATTATTATATCCATGGAGCCAGGGCTGCAAAGCATTGTGGGAATGTCAGCAAGCATCAATACTACTTTCAAGTACTTTAATATATAAACCTTTTGTAACTGAATATGAAATTGGAATAAAAAACACATGCCTTTATACATAAGCGCGAATGTACATACAAAGCCATGCCCTTCTAAATGCCCTTCAAAGATTTATGTCATGTCAAGAAATCATTCATTTGTAAATAAAGATACCTTTTTCAGTCACAGGGCCAAGTTCGCTAGATTTTTGAAGTAGTAACAAAACATATGAAATATATTTCTTCTTAAATCGCAACATGTGTTACGGAATGGAATGAATGCAGTTTGCAGGGAGATATGCTACAGGATAAGTGAGTGAGTGAGTTGGGTTTTACGCCGATTTCATACAAGTTAAGGTACAACCGGGCAAGAAGACCTCGTGACCAACAGAAAGATGTATACTTAATCAGGCTCTGTCCATGGAGAGATTGTTCACAAATATGAACACCAGGAATTCAATGAATTAGACGTGAAGCTAACATGAACGTCAACCTTAGGTTAGTGTTTATATACCCTTCAGCATGACCATCATCATCAACATCATCAATCATCGTGCCGACCCCTTCCGTCAAGAATCCAGTAGTAGGTTCAAGAAATAACCAGCTGCAATCCTAGGCCCTGTTTCACAAAGCTATCGTAACGCTACGACTGCCGTACCTCCTATACTGTAACATAGACTTACGACTGTCGTTACGCTGTCGAAAAACAGGGCCCAGGGGACTAAGTGTATAACAAAGAATACATTCTACGGTATGGTTATATTACCTCCGGTCATTAATGACATTGACAGAACTGTTGAGCTATTAAAACAGTCTGATTCACCTGTGGCCCATTCGTCCGGGGCACTGCATCCACTGTGCAGAGTTGCGTCCCTTGGTCCAGCCAGATACATGTGACTGGATTCGACTCCAGGTTCGACCCGATTACGTTTCTATGTTCGTCAGCACAATACTACTACCACTGGGTTTCAACAAACTGGTACACGTCTTAGACCTACATCACTTATGGCGTTACTCCCAATTTGAGCTAGTGTAGGGATGCGAAAGGCGGTTATATGGTGTGCGCAAATCGCCCTCGATCCCTTCATTGAATAGATTAGATATTGCCATTGACTGACTGACATCGATGAACGTACAACATAAGCATGGCATCATCAAATGAAAATATTGATATCAGTTCCTAGGACACAAAAGGCAAGGTTGGTCAATTCTAAATTTACACAAATGGAAACAATTTTAAAGTAGCAATGGACACCAAAGGTATAGTCTAGGGAGTTATTACATGAAATGATAAGCTGTTTCTGGTCTACTTTCACAACCGTATCTTGTTCAAACCCAAAGCCATTCAAATGAAACCATATTTATAAGGTAAGCATTTTCACGATTAGAAATCTGGTCGTACTGTGGGGCTGATAACCTTTTGCTAATATAATACATGATAAAACAGTATTCCAGCAACCTGCAAACACAGCACGTACAGCCGGCTCTATTAGCAGACATAAAGCTGAATAACTATTGTTTACTTTTACAGAGGCTGATAGAACTAAGTCGTGGATTTGACGGTTGTTGATAGACCAATGCAATCTCACCAAGCTGAGTGAGTGAATATGGTTTTACGCCGCTTTTAGCAATATTACAACAATATCATGGCGGGGGACACCAGAAATGGGCTTCACACAATGTACCCATCTGGGGAATCGAACCCGGGTCTTCGACGTGACGAGCTGACGCTTTAACCACTAGGCTACCCTACCGCCCCACCAAGTTGAGAGATCACATACGGGAAGATGAGCGATGAGTTCATAGGGAGCACAATCCAACACATATATATACAGTATATGATACTGAGCAAGGACAGGAACAATTCGAAGAAACAATATAATAATCAGTTTCATACATACTCAAAACTATTTTAAATACTGTGAGAGTGTGATAATAGATGAATAATTTCAATAGTAATTCTGTTTAATCTTACTAATGTAATTGTCATCTTTATTTGCAGACCTGACATTGACTATTCTGTGGGGCAGTGTAAGAGACAATGTTACGGTCACTGCCTAAAAACAAATATCCATTTTTTGCGACACGACATCCAGTATTTCTTGTAAAATTGATTACACAATAGTTTTTAAGAATCCTAGAACATACGGTAGTCATGTAAACGCCTAGATCACGTAAACGCCTAGATCATGTAAACGCCTAGATTATGTAAACGCCTAGATTATGTAAACGCCTAGATCATGTAAACGCGATCTGTCCAAACGCTATTGACGCTCCTTTTTATCATGTTTATTGTAGTATATTAACAATACAATATAACTTTCAACCTTTAATGGGGATTTCAAATACACCAATTCAGATACCTCGTAACGCTCAATGTCTGTGTATATTTATGATATATTGGAAATGACAGGTACTACCAAACCCGGAAACCCTAACGGTCGTTACTTAAGACGGACTAATGGGCTCTGCTATTGGCGGAGATGTGTGTCGGAAGGGTTTTTCGCTTTATTTCAGTCTGAAGTGGTAAGTCATTTTTTTATTTTTGTTAATTGTTTAAGGCTGCGCTCAGCAATGTCCCAGCTATATGGCGGCGGTCTGTCAACAATCGAGTCTGGACCAGACAATCCAGTGATCAACAGCATGCATGTCGATCTACGCAATTGGGTTACGATGACGTGTCAACCAATCTGACCACCCGATCCCGTTTTTCGCCTCTTTATTAACATGATACAATATTACAATAAAATATGATATTATAACGCAGTGTAGACTCCGCTTGTAACGAATTCGAAAAAAGAAGCAAACAGTATGTTTTCCTGAACCATACTGATATCCAGCCGCCTATATAACGGAAATTCAATTATTTTGAGGATGCAGAGGCAGGGGAGTTAACTGGCTGTCCAGTTTCCGTCACTAAACTAGGTTCGATCGCAGGGACACCAGAGGTTATTACGAGTTATGTCCCTTATATGTCGCCAGAAGCCTGCACAGTCGCCATGTTGTTATGGGACCGAATGTCGATTTAGTTCTGCAAAGACTCGCTACTCAAGTCAAGATATAACTCCTTAGTTCCAGCCTAGTTCAGCAAGGTTGGAGGATGACCAGGCGATGCATTCTAAATATCTACAACGTAACCTCGCACATCCGTACAGAAATCGTTACCAACGTATCCCAGGTATGGGATATTCCCCTTTGGGTGTATATTAGATTCTCCAATTCTGGTTTCGGTTCATATACACATGATATGTAAATTTAGAAGACATAATGAACAAACGATTCTTTATTAGTGTTATTGTTAATCTGCCAGGGACAGATTGTTACAGAAAACACATGTCAATTCTTTCATAACAGATTACAGTAAAATGAAAGAAACTGGTGCAACTTCTCTCAAGTAGTTCATACTAGTTTTAGCTACACTTTTATTTCCGATTGTTGCCATTGGAGTTAGCATAGAAACGCACATATTCTGCTTTATTTCAGGTATATTGTTAGGGTAACTTAAGTGGCATGTTTAGAAGTTGGAGAATCAGATAAGGACAAAAGTTTATGGATGAACAACTTCTTTATTCGGATAAAGCATCCATAAAGTTTTGTCCTTATACTGACTGAGTTTTGGTTTTACGCCGCTTTTAGCAATATTCCAGCAACATCACGGCGGGGGACACCAGAAATGGGCTTCACACATTGTGCCCATGTGGGGATTCGAACCCGGGTCTTCGGCGTGACCAGCCAACGCTTTAACCATTAGGCTACCCCACCGCCCCTTTTGTCCTTATATAACTTAATGATCTAACTACATATATCTCTGGTGACAAGCATTTTTCACTTCTAGTCTTCATCCCTATTTTCCATCACATATTTCCATTTTATCAACATTTTGAACACATTTACATACCATGTAATTTCTTGCAGTATGAAATCGCAAATCACTCAAACAAAACTTAACAAAAACAGATAGAATAATCACATGTTCATAAACAACCGACAGACACACACAAGTACAGCACTAATGATACAATGTTCATTTCCATACAGAGTTGTCGCCCCTGCGCCGCCCTTGGTCATAAGTTTAATACCGGGGTCAACGTTCTTGGTGAGAGGCGTTTCTGCAGATTCAAGTCCAAGCGTTTCCTTGATTACGGTGAGAAGCGGGAACTTGCCTTGGTCACAGTATTTGCCACTGGGGTCGTCAAAACTTAGTTCCCAGAACATCGCACCTCCTAGTTGTTGACTAATGATGTACTTTGTCTGTAAAAAGTGAGTGAGTTTAGTTTTACGCCGGTTTTAGCAATATATACCAGCAATATCACGGCAGGGGATACCAGAAATGGGCTTCAAACATTGTACCCATGTGGGGAATCGAACCCGGGTTTTCGGCGTGAGGAGCGGACGCTTTAACCACTAGACCACCCCACCGCCCCTTCGTCCGTAAAGAGGTTTCGGGTTAGTATTGAAGCGGTACCATATCGAGCATGAGTATGGTATTATATTCAATAATTTTATAAGTATATTAACTGAGCATGGACTTACATCTGGACAGGTAAACAGACATCACATTTTCAGGGGTGGAAATAACTTTAAAATTGCTAGTGTACTCCGGTACAGTGGCACATGTAAAATCACTTGCCCTGATAATTTTTCCACTATACTGGCCGTTTTCTTGTTGATTTTTTAAATAAACAACATAATTAATATTGGAAAGTCAACTGGACACCGGTACATTGTGATATACAAATTTGCTTGCCCGACAGAAAAAAACACTGGACTCGGGCGTCGGGCAATGGGTTATTTCCACCCCTGCATTTTGGGTCTAGAACAGTTGATTCACACGTAAATTCAAACTGAAAATATTGCTATCGAACCGATTATACCTTACCTTTAATCGTATACTCTGTCTGTCATCATACCCGACCCAATGTTCCTCGAAGTACGCGAAGGGTACTTGTTGTTCCTCATCCCATTCCCGTTGCCACTTCACGTTCAAGTTCAAGCATATCTTGAATGCAATGAAGAACATTTAGACAATAGCACTAAATTGTCAAGGCAATGGATTAAAACATGTTGTCATTTTGTCTGGAGTTTGACCTATATTCTTGTAGTAGCATATATTTATTTGAGAGGTGCAAAATATGTTTCAAGTATATTATTTCTTTTTATATAGGCATGGTAAATGTAATACTTACATGTTCGATTAGATTCTCCTGAGATGCACATAATAGACTTCATGGATTTTCCCTTCCATCCATAAATTAATTTTATGGATGGAAGGGAATTTCCAAAAGTTTTCCGGAAGAAAAGTAGTTCCCAAATCATTGTACATGTGACATACAAGAGCGAAATGATACTCATCCTCTATAGAGGTGTTGCAAATGGGACAGAAACGTAAACCAGATCCGATTGATTGCCACCCACCTTTATTATAACGTGCAGGCAACACGTATCTAAATTTGGTGTAAGTAGAGCGCACCTTATTTCCTAATATGATATATAGATATCTGTCTGGTTCAAATATGAATTTATATTCTCTATATATCACATATCTAGAGCTATTATTCAAAGTACACTTGTACGAAAGAAAAATTTAATTCATCACCAAGAGATTGGTTAATCCAGATATATCCAAAGCCATGAGAAAACAAAATATTTTAAATGAACGATACCCAAACTCTTTTTTTCAAAGTCATGAAAATATATCAACATGTATAGATATTAGAAACAATGAGAAAAACGTCAATATGAACACTAACACGTAGGTACAGTTAAGCATGTAAACTTCAACGACCAACCACTTCTATACAAAATTAACTCACCACCCACACCCATATGCATAGCAACACTCACACCAAAACAGCCAGGGTAACCAGTAATCAGGTATACCTTTAAATGTCCGTACCCGTAAAGATCCGGATAAGAATTGATCTCCAGTAACCCATGCTTGCCGTAAGAGGCGACTAACGGGATCGGGTGGTCAGGCTCGCTGACTGGTTGACACATATCATCGGTTCCCACTTGCGGAGATTGATTTCGCTCGGTCAGATACCATAGTTAGGACACCCGTTTCGTATAATTCGCATGTAATGAGACCTCGTGTAGTATTCTCTATATACCTACCTCGGGGTAGATGAGCCTCGCTGGTTGGGCAAACAGGGTACCGAGTGGCTTGGACCCTTTGATGACGGCAGCGCCTACGGAGTGGTCATTGGTGTCGTTGAGGATGAAGCTTGCACCAGCCCCTGTCATCCCCACCACCACCTTCCGCCTGTCAGCCCCACCGTTCAGCAACACGTGGACGGCATGGTCCTGCAACGACGATCGAGAGTTACATGAAATTCATGCTGGCAAAGCTTGAGGGGCCCGATTCTCGAAATGTTCGTAGCGCGAAGTTGGCTTGATGTGTCACATCGGGATAAACTTGGTCTTCAGCAACCCATGTTTGTAAGAGGCGATTAAGGTCAGGAGGTCAGGCTTGCTGACTTGCTTCATGTCATGGTAACCCAACTGTGTAGATCGATGCTCATGATGTCAGTCACTGGATTGTCTGGTCTAGACACGATCTTTTACAGACCGCCGTCATATAACTGGAATATTGCTGATTACGGCGTTAAACAACAAACAAATATGAACAATCTACTTACAACGTTGTAGAGTTTGGAAAATCTTGGGTTGCTTTGTCTCTCTTTAAGTGGGCTGTTGAATCCAGTCACCTCACTCCACGATCCAAAGAAATCATACGCCATTAGAAACATGTAGTCCACGTACCTACATAAACAAAAACAAAATCATCAGAATTCAAAATTTGTTTTATATATTTCCAATAAATAGATTGCGCAGATCGATGCTCATGATGTTGATCACTGGATTGACTGGTCAGACTCGATTATTTACAGACCGACGCCATATAGCTGGAATATTGCTGACTGCGGCGTAAAACTAAAATCACTCATTCACTCACTCCAATAAATAGAAGCGATAAATTCATTTTCATAATCTTATGAAAGTTCTACCACTTGTGACCCGTGAAGGTCTGGGTTAGAATTGATCTTCAGTAACCCATGCTTGTCGTAAGAGGGAACTAACGGGTGGTCAGGCTCGCTGACTGGGTTGACACATGTCATCGTATCCCAATTGCGTAGGTCGATGTTCATGCTGTTGATCCCTGGATTGTCTGGTCCAGACTGGATTATTTACAGACCGCCGCCATATAGCTGGAATATTGCTGAGTGCGGCGTACAACCTAAACTCACTCACTCACTCACTCACTCTACCACTTCTGACCACCACGACTCATACTGCTACCAGTGAAACATGTCGTCAATCATAAATCAGATGTACCCACAAGTATCATAAACAGCGTGAGTGCGACATGTTATCATTGATGCACAAGCCAAACCAGATTAAATGGAATAAATCAAATCTTCCGAACCAGCTGCCATTCAAAATCCGGGTTCCCTACATGATACATAAGTAGATGCTGACAACACCTCAGATAACAGAACCATCACATGTAAGCAATAGCTTCTCTTCTGAAAGTTGTCAGTTGTACGAATCCAACTAGACCATGGTCATGTGTGCAGGGTTCACCATCAAACAGTGGTGATACCAGGTGTAAGTGAAAAGGTGAGCTTAATCTCATCCACCGGTGGTACCTGTCACAAACACACGCAAGGGCAAGTGAATTGTTTCCCTGGAAAATACGGGAACATATGGATGGCACAAAATAAACAAGCAAATTGCACTGGACATCGCGTTGGTCTCTCACTGAAAGCGTCATCTACATGTCTGCCATAACACTTTTATCATGCTTCACTAAGGTCATGAACGCCGTAAGAATGATTAAACAGCAAGAGGTGCTCTTTGAATTTGTATAGAAAGGTCATTCAATCAAATACGTTCTTCAAATATGTTTCACTGAGCTGCCAGGACCATAGACTGAAACCGATTTTGTTTTCACTTGTCAGTGTGTAGCCATTTGTAATCACTTTCGCCTGTTTTACTCCTAAAAAACACTAAATACTTTTTACTCTAAATATCTTACGTTGTAATCTTTTTTATGTCATAGCCGGCCAGAATCTTCTCCTCCCCTCCTGCCACCGCCACCGTCAGCAACAGCCGGCGTCTACCCGTCTCCTCTGCCTCACGGTCGAACTCCTCTCTGACCCCCTTTGAAGATGAGTGTAGGTGTGAGTAAAGAATATCAGTGAAGAAGCGAAATTTTTAATATGAAAGAATTTTAATCCAAGTCATAATCATAAAATACAACATGTAATTGTTCGCTGGACATGTTAGAATTCCTGTTGTCTCCCAGGACTGTCTCCATTCCTTCTAAAGGATTCAAGTATAAGAGGTTGTAGTGAGTGAGTGAGTGAGTTTAGTTTGACGCCGCTTTTAGCAATATTCCAGCAATATCACGGCGGTGGACCACCAGAAATGGTAAGAGGTTGTAGAAGGTTTATAGGTCCCTTATACTGCTCGGGCTGTGTATCATGTTCGAATCAGACCAGCGATACACTTTAAACGCCTTTGTTTGAAGAGTTATTTATTTATTATTTATTATTGGATATATATAGCGCTCATATCCACGCACTGGTGCATGCTCAAGGCGCTGGTAGTTTTTCCCTCGATCATTGGATGTCAATCTCAACGGCACATCTTATTATCAATCTCAACTCCCTGGGGATAATACAACTCTTGCAGCCACTAGGCGCACCGAGTTATTGCGGCTTGCCCATCCGTACGAGGTACCCATTCACAGCTGGGTGGACTGGGACACATAGTCACAGTATTTTGTCCAAGATTACTGCACGTTGCTATACCCGCAACTAGGTGTTTGCACGTATTCATGTGGCCACCATCTGGTCATATACCAACGGATTCGTGGGTTCTTTTAAGTGCACAGGGTTGTGTACTGTACACTAGCTAGGGGTTGTGACAACACTGAAAGAGTCTGAACACAAAGTTGACTTCAAGATTTTACACCCGGTCAGAGATGGGCTCGATCCCGGCACCTCATGCTCGCTGGATCACTAGCCTGGCGCTTTAGCCAGCTCGCCCACCATGCCACACTTTGGTGTGTGTGAATGTATATAGGTAGAAGACATTATAGAATCAATAAGCTACACACGAGCAAGAAATACACCGTTTGACCCATGACTGTTAGTCGAAATGTATCTTATGAACACCTTGATGAACGCATCCTCTTCCAAAACCAAAGTTCATCCATTTGCACCTCTATGAGTCCTAATTTCCGGTAATCGCAACCAACAAAACGTTTTTCGCGCGAACTCTAAGAAAGGCTTTTAAATCGTATGTGTCGAATCAGTTTATCTATACCCTTCAAAAAAGTAGGGGAACTTCATTTTTATTATACTATTGAAAAAAATGTGAGATATATCGGAGTCAATCAACGTTGATATGATATCAATCAATGTTTTGAGAGTGCATCACCACTTGTGCTTCCCTATGACCATAGTTGTTTGTACAGTAATCGCTCTTGAAAGAGGACTGGTGTAGGTGTACGATTTTCATTTTTTTAAAGAAAACGGCTAGAAACAAACACTAACAACTGTGTAATGCAAGATGACTGTCAAAAGTAATGGTCTACAGTGATTTATCGACCTTCTTAACAACCGTCACAGTCAAGAATGACACCCCATGCATGTGTATGGGGCTACTGTGTTGTGCACGTGCATCCCATGCGTTGTGTTTAGGGGTGGCGATAAAGAAAAATGGTGGTGCGATCATGTGATGTCTGTCTTTGAAAAGTTTGTTAACGCTTATACTTGCTATCCAAATTGAAAGTTCGGGTTCCCCTACTTTTTAAGAGTATATATAAAATTCCATCAGGGCATGTGGACGAAACATTTCAATGGCAAAAACAAATACCTGTAAAAGTTTCACATAGAAATTCTTGGTTGTGGCGTTAGGGTACTCCCAGTCAATGTCAAGGCCATCAAAGCCTCGTTTCCGCAAAAACTCCGCAGAAGATTTTGCAAACTTGGTAATCCACGCCGTTTTGCTTGCCATATGTGCAAAGTTATTTGAAGCAACGCTGTTTTCTCCTCCCACGGACAACAGCGTTTTTAAGTTCGAGTTTTTTTCTTTAAGTTTGTTAAAATGTGTGTATCGTCCATTTCCACCCACAGGGTCTTCAACTCTCGGATCAGACGCAACGAGCTTCATAGAGTACTTGTCCAGATTTGCAAATGCATAAACAAGATGGGTACATATCCCTGGGTCGATGTTCTCAATCGGGAGGCGGATGTTGTTGTTGGCACCAGCTGACCAACCCGTGTAGTAACAGGCACTGACGTACTGGTTACCTGTAGAACAAATATAATGAACAACATTGAGTGAGTAAGTTTGGTTTTACTCCGCTTTTAGCAATATTCCAGCAGTATCACGGTGGGGGACACAAGAAATGGGCTTCACACATTCTACCCATGTGGGGAATCGAACCCGGGTACTCGGCGTTACGATCAAACGCTTTAACCACTAGGCTACCCCACCGCCCCGACAACATTGAGGAATGATTCTTTAGGCTATGATATACTCGAAAGAAACAATATATGTCATGCCACGACAGATTAACTACAGTAAATTATATATGACAGATTACCTAAGATCATTGGAAAATATTGTGTGGTCTTTTGTGTATTGTCTACTTATTCTCGCATGCCTATATCATTCTTCTGATCTTAGCAACTACGGAGAACGAAAATCCCTTGTCTCTTTACTTGACAGAAAAAACGTCTAGACACTTCCAAAAAATCATGTGTCTAAACTATTCAATGTACGTAGATACTTTATACAGTCTTTTTCCTTTTTTTTCAAACGACGTTGACAGATATCGAAAAAAACGTCTAGATTGTTCAATTCTTACCAAAAATCTGTGTCTAAACTATTCAATGTACGTAGATACCTTATACAGTTTTGGGGGTTAAAAAAGGAAATTAAAATTTAATACAGAAATTAAAGCCTTGCAACTGACAGTTTGTTTTGTTTTGTTTGGTTTTTTAAAAGAAATTAAATTAAATTACAGAAATTAAAGCCTTGCAACTGACGTTGACATATATCGAAAAATATTACATGCATGTAATTCTTTACTGTTTCGAATTTTGCGTTCTTGCGAATATCATATCTGTAGTTGAGATTGGACGACGGGTACAACCCTGAAGCTATGCATGAACTATATAAACACATTGGCACGTAAATAAACAATATTCATTTTGATTGTCAGTTTCAATAGATATGTGGCATTGTACATGTTGTGCTCAGTTGCGTTGTACGTAACTGCCTTGAGGCTTGCAGTCAAGTAAATCTGCAATCTGTTTCTGCGATTTAAGTATGGAAGAAATCCTCTATTGTTTAACAGAAAATAGGATTGTTTGTTGTAGACATACAGTATGTAGTGGTTAGTAGTAGTAATAGTAGTAGTAGTTGTTGTTGTAGTAGTAGAGTAGGGGAGAAGGAGAAGTAGTAGTAGTAGTTTTGGTGGAGGAGGGGGAGAGGAGAGGAAGGATTAGCAGTGGTAGAAGATGGAATAGTAGAAGCAGTAGTTGTAGTAGGTGTTCTTATAGTAGTAGTAACAGCAGTTGCAGTAGTGGTAGTAGCAGTAGTAGCAGCAGTAGTAGTAGTAGTAGTTTTAGGGGAGGTATGGGAGGAGGAGGAACGGAAGAATTAGCAGTGGTAGTGGGCTGTTGTGGTAGTGATAGTAGTTGTAGTAGTGAGTGAGTGAATTTAGTTTTACGCCGCACCCAGCAATATTCCAGCTATATGGCGGCGGTCTGTAAATAATTGAGTCTGGACCAGACAATCCAGGGATCAACAGCATGAGCATCGATCTGCACAATTGGGAACCGATGACATGTGTCAACCAAGTCAGCGAGCCTGATCACTCGATCCCGTTAGTCGCCTCTTACGACAAGCATAGGTTGCTGAAGATCAATTCTACCCCGGATCTTCACGGGTCACAAGTGGTAGAACTTTCATAAGATTATGAAAATGCATTTATCGCTTCTATTTATTGGAGTGAGTGAATGAGTGAGTTTAGTTTTACGCCACACTCAGCAATATTCCAGCTATATGGCGTCTGTCTGTAAATAATCGAGTCTGGACCAGACAATCCAGCGATCAAAAGCATGAGCATCGATCTGCGCAATCTATGGAAAAATATAAAACAAATTTTGAATTCTGATGATTTTGTTTTTGTTTATTCTAACCCGGACCTCCACGGGTAGCAGTAGTTGTTGTAGTGATAGTGGTGGGAGGTGTAGAAGTAGTTGTTGTAGTTGTAGTAATAAATATCTAAGTTGATCAGTAATAACAAAGGCAAGAAGCTTTATGGATGGCACCTTGCATGAAAACGATATAAAAACATACCCCAAGACGGCGCATCATTTATAATAAATAGGCAGCAATCCACACAGTACATTGACTTCATTATGGGACCATAGGGAAGAAACTTGGCAGTTTAATTCCAAATTGAGACAATAGATCCCTACCTTGCACACCCGTCAACGCTGCCATCAGCAGCACCGTCACTCCGTGTATCCACGGACTCATTAGCTTCGTTCTGAAACAAACACAGATGAGCATGTAGGCATGTATAGAAGAGCGAGCTACAGACTCACCACAGCAGACATCAACCAAAACACAATATCACAACGAAAGAAAGGGATACCAGTAACCCCTGAGCGGCTCCTCGCAGGTTCTCACGGCACATATCAGATTTTTTCTTAAAATCTGCATTTCTAAACATGAGCCTTTTCATGTTTAAAGTCAATCTGTACCCCATCCTGATCGCTGTACGATTACATACCTAGCTGTGTTGATGAAGCAACTTGATACAGGTTGCGTCAGTATAGTTATGTATGTGTTTGTTGTGACCTCGCTTCCCCATGGCCACGATCTGAGTCACGAACACGCTTGAATAGTTTCCACAGGTTTGATGTTAAGATTAGCTGAAGTCTGTGTTACTCTGTTTCAGTTGAATCCGAAATTATTACATACAGCAGGCTACTTCCGTAACGAACACGCTCATAACGATTACGAAATTCCGGATGTTACGAAAGGTTTACGTTGTTTTTGTTGTTTTGGGGTGTTTTTAAAGTATTTGTATTTTATTCTGTTTGTTTGTTTTTTGGGTGTTTTTGTTATGTAGTGTTTTGTTTTTGTTTGTTTTTTTGTTTATGTTTATGTTGTTGTTTTTTTGTCTTGGGGGGTGGGGGTGTTTTGGGTTTGTTTTTTTTCTCTCTTTTTTATTTTTCTCTCTTTTTTTGGGGGGGAGGGGGGTTTCTGGTTTGGACTTAACTGACTATATCATTCATGTCAGACGAATACACTTTCATAATATGCAATAGTTTCATTATTATTTTTTTTCATATAATCCGTTCGTTTGTACGTAGAAACGGTCTTTGCTTGAGTAACCTTCTTAATATCACGGGCTAGAATGAAGTTGAGACGTTGTATGATCACACAGTAAACGACATACAGACCGAGCCCCAGAACGATTTTGAATGTTTTTAGCATTTAAAGAAATTAGTAAACCCGAGGTCACATATGGGATTGAAGCGAGCGCAGTTGGAACTACCGGTATAGGGAGAAAATGTAAGATATATATATTGAGAACTTGGCGTTGGACCAATATGTTATTTCATTACGGGATATTTCGTAATATAAGATGGAGGCAGTTACATATAAATACACAGTTCAACGTCACTTGGCATGCCACGGGTCGAACGTCAGAGACGGTGGGGTAGCCTAGTGGTTAAAGCGGTCGCTCGTCACGTCGAAGACCCGGGTTCTATTCCCCACATGGGTACAATGTGTGAAGCCCATTTCTGGTGTCCCCCGCCGTGATATTGCTGGAATATTGCTAAAAAGCGGCGTGAAACCATACTCACTCACTCCTGGACGTTACGGGCGACCATGTTGTATATAACGTTCGTAAAATCTCAAAAAACTGCCGCTTGAGTTTTGATTTGCGATCAGAATTTATACATTTGATATTAAGGAGGTTAATATTATTTTCAACACAAACAGGTACTGAATTGCTGTTTTGGTTCAAATTAACATAAATAACGAAATCTTTCACTTTGGTACTTATCAAGAAAAGGACATTTTACGGCTCCTCCTGCAATGCAAGGAACTGAACTGAACTTTATTTACACACAGGATTCTTACACCTTTTACACTCATTAGAGATACATTTACATAATATACATCTTAATATACAGGTATACAATATGCAGCAACAACTTCACGGGTCAGTGAGAACGGATATCAGAGTACATCAATTATGAAACACGTTGTTTTTACACATTTTCGATAATTTTCGTAGGGTTATTAGTTTCCGATTATTAAAACGTAAATTCATTCTTAAAAAGTTTGGTTCAGTGTAAAACTATTTGTGAATTAGCTGTTTTCTCATTTTTCCAAAGCTGGACAGATAAATGTCAAAAATAAGGTACGCAGGGACTGAATGTTTTTCAGGCCTCATCCAAGCACTCGCCCGAAAATAAAATGGCAATCAAGGAGAGGGTCATTCATTTTCTCGTGTACATACTTGACATATCGTCACGAGATCTCTGTCAAGCCTCATGAGATAGAGATATTAAATGAGACATTAACCGGACTTCCCCACCCCCCCGACATCTGTCGTACTTAACCTAAAAAGCGTGTTTATGGTAATAACGATGATAATGTTGTGTTCTGAATGTCCAACACGTACACACGATATCTCTGATAACCCTGTTGATGTGTGTTTATGTGTGTATAAATATTAATGGGGTGGGGTGGAATTTGGCGGCTCTTTCTTTTTTGTCATTATCAAATGTGAAGCGCTCGTGTTCAAAACTTTACTGTTGTAAGGGGTAATATAATTGTTTGGTTGGTTGGTTTGATGTTTATCGCCGCATTCAGCAATATATGGCGGCGGTCTGTAAATAATCGAGTCTGGACAAGACAATACAGTGATCAACATCATGAGCATCGATCTACGCAATTGGGATACGGCGACATGTTGTTTGGATGGGGAGCGGTTACATCTGATAGAGGACTATTCGCCAGGATCCCTGCCTGTTTCAGGTATAACACATGGTTTGCATGCTCCAACTCGAACACGTTGGTTAAACTAATACGATACGTTTAGTATGCATTGGTTAAACTGTCACTTTATTTTGTAACCTTAATCAACCTCGTTGGTTCAATCACATTTCACTGTTATCCATCTCGAACACATTGATAAAACCGCTATGATACAACATGATGTGATCTGATTTGAATACAGTGACTAAATTTTAACTTTACAGATCAGTTAGCCCTAACTGAGCCCAAAGTGTGCCAATGCATTAACTGTCAAAATGCATTTTCTCTAATTCGAACACAGCGGCTAAACGAACACAGCGGCTAAACTGTCACTCTTTACAGTTAAATTGACGCTATGAATGATATACTTGATCACTTATTATGTGATCTGACGAAAAGATGAAAAAATAGTCGCTCTATAGGGCAAGTTTATATAATGATATACTTGATATATGTCTGAGTGTTGGCGACAACACTCGAAAATCTTCGGCCGTGTCGTTGCTCGCGGGGCAGTCTTCAGGGATGAGTAGATATAAAAACGCGTTAAATAACTCCATCGAAGTACGTGTTCATCTATGGATAAGGATTTTGTTGTTTTTGCTTTATAAATCAGATTAACGTCCTGCAATGACATAATAATACATGCTTTCGCATCGCAATATATCGCAATATGAGCTAAATACCCACCTGTATTATCTATGGAAAGGATTGCTGTTTGCACAGATTCTGAGCAATGACATATATTATATACGCAGTAAACCTATGTATGGCTAAACACGCCTGAAAACGGACGCTTCTTACGGGCCCTTCCCACTCTATAAACACACCCACTCACCCAAACACACATCAAGTGGTGGTGGTGGAATTGGGTTTAACGTCGTGCTTGAGAATATTTCGCTCATATGACGACGTGCATGCGTGTGTATGTGTATGTGCGGCTGCTTGTACTAGCCCAGACTGAAGCTGGTTTTATAGTGCTAGCCCACTGAGATACCATGCCGCAGTGAAGCATGAATACCCCACTCAGACACATTATACGGACTCCGAGCCGACCAGTCCTTGTTGTACCCATTAATGCCGAGCGCCAGGCAGGGACCAACAAGTATTATATTTTAACGTCTTTTGGTATGACGCGGTCGGGGATCGAACCCGCGACCTTCCGCTCTCCGGGCGGACGCTCTAACCACTACACCACGGAGGCGGTCCAAACACACATCAACTCACTCCGTCCACTTTGCCTATACGTTGTAACTCATGACCAGTGTGAAACTGATTTAGTGTGACTGTGAAATTGTCTGTATGCTCGTCTCAACATTGTTTTGTGTAACTGATACAGATGTTTGTCAATGACTTGAACCAAACTTGCTAGGATTGTACAACATATGTACGTGTATGCAAGTGGCTGTGTTGTTTAAATAGTATCGGTTGTTGTGCCAATGTTGTGTAGCAATGTGGTCGTGTCGCAGTGACAGAGGAAACGTAGCAGTAGTAGTAGTAGTACTGTAGTAGTACAAAGCCATAGGCGGATGAAAATGAACCACACACACACACACACACACCTTAACCCACTTCTCAAAAGTTGTATCCGCCATTAAGCGGCAAGTTTTAAAGTTGTAAATTTGGCGGAATACAAATCCTAACGCCTTAACCCTAACGGGCCAATTACAATTTTAAATCCTAAATACAAATACAAATCCTAACGCCTCCAGGGCCATGGGTACAACACATTCAGTCTTCGAGATTGCAGCATAAATACCCGAATGAAGCTCTATATCACATCGCATCTGACACATGCGATTGTCAACTGCAAATCACTTACCATGAAATTAACAACATTTGACCATCTGAGATTTCACTTCAGTACTTCTTGAATATATCCAGCAACGTCACAAAACATGTTGAAGTGGTATCTATCAAATTCCAATTCATTATTCAACTTCAAACGGTTTCTTCAAAACAGTTGATATGTAATATTCAATTTGACTGCAGTTTTGGCAAATAGTGACGGTTTCCTTCTTGCCCAATCCGTGGTGAGCCTATGTAACAAGCGTAAATGTTCGGATCAGTCCTCAAAAGCGGGGTAATAAATTGTCCTAATTCTTTAATCAACTCTCTGCTATCGTGACAACCAAGACGTGTGCGTGAGGTCAAGTTCGCTCTAATCCGTGGCGGTTTTTAAAACAGAAAATTTCACCAATACAATATATAGTGTTACAAAGAGAGGCAAGGCTCTGTAGTTCACCTGCTCTATTCTGAAATATTCGCATCATTAGATTAAATAGGTCTCAAATGACAGGGTATCTGGGTGAGATGGTGGGGTGGGGCGGCAATGGAGTAGTCCAGTGGTCCAAGCGATCGCTAGTCATGACGAATATCCGGGTTCGATTCTCTACAGAGGCACAGTGTGTGAAGCCCATTTCTGGTGCCGTTTGGCGTGGTTTTGCAGGAGTATTGGTAATAGCGGTGTAGAACTAAACTCACTCACTCACCCACTTACTAACTCACACACACAAAAGATTGGTTTACACGAATGTCCATAGAGCAATAGAAGATTTGACAAGACAAAACTATGAATGTGATAAGGTCAGATACGGATTCAATACAAGTTGTATACACATAGGTGGTTCCATATACCACATGCGTAAAACACACATAAATAAGAACACTTATAATGTAGATAAGAATCATGTGAGCTGTTTTAAATGGACCATTGGTTCGTATTTGTAAACCAGGTTTTAGAGGAGACATTGATAATAAACTCAAAATAGGTCGTTAAATATATATTTTTAAATGCTAGATAGGCGTGGTTATACTGTGAAAAAAAAAAACAACCCGAAAGCAGTAATTCACATGTATGGTGCCATGTTTCGCCTGTAATCTGCCTAACGAATCCCAACTCGCATGCCCGTGGCATGTTAATTAATGCCCCCAAGGCGCTGATCTGGCAGTTTAAGACATTTATAGTACCACTTGCGCCTAAAACAATGACACCGAAGTTCAAACTCCTAGGCAGCTATAAAACATCAGATCACAATCGCCTTTCAGTTGACCTCGGGGCATGTGCTGCACTCGTTCACATGCATATCTTTACTTTTCCGTTATATATGTATATGAGGTCGCAATCAGGGTAGTAGCAGTGGCTGTAGTAGTAGTAGTAGAAGTAGTAGTAGTAGTGACTGTAGTAGTAGTAGTAGTAGTAGTACAACCGTGTACTCAGAGTACGTGAGTGTGAGTGAGTTAGTGAATTGGGTTTTACGCCGCTTTTAGCAATATTCAAGCAATAATCACGGCGGGGGACACCAGAAATGGACTTCACACATTGTACCCATGTGGGGAATCGAACCCGGGTCTTTGGCGTGACGAGCGAACGCTTTAACCACTAGGCTACCCCACCGCCTCCGTGTATGCACGTATTATATTCACAAGTCTCTCTCGATATCATTTTAATTAATTAATAAATTTAGGACACGGTTGCGCAAGACATAATAAAGGTTTAATCATATAATACCATTCTTAAAATATTAAATACGTAATTTCCAAAACTAAGGAAATTATAGAATTCGTTTATATCTTAATTTAGTGCCAAATGCAGACATGCTGCTTGTAGGAAACATGACCATAGATCCCTTTTGAAAAATACAATAACTGAGATAATAATATCCACTGGCATATATAAACATGTCGTTTGAAATGCCTTGGTAGCGTTTTAGACAAAAACATATATAGGAAAAGCATATCCAGAATAGCAATCAGAATGTGAGTCACAAAAATTCCTGGACAGACAGGAAGAACGTCTGGGATAGCAATGTGACAGGTTGACAGCAGGATGCAGGTATACAGACGAACGATCATACAAATGATGTTCCGTGTGTACGCGGCTTGTCTGACTTTCTGTAATGTTTCAGAGGTCAGCTTGCTGGTAAAGGGAGCCAAAGGGTCTGATTTCTTGGTTATGTGAAGTTCAACACACGATGTCTGAGAACTACTGACCTCGTAACCAGCTTGAGTAATGGGTCATTGGCTTACATTCATGATCATTCTGTCACACGAATTGTTACTGCCGTTGTTATCATAATGAACATAGTCGACATCACCATCTCAACAACCATAACAATGAAGGAAAACCAAGTTCTGTGGAAGTCAACTTCTTTATTGCAATGAGTGCGACGTTTCGGTGTAGGTACTAACACCGTTATCAAGCAAGTGATACAAAGAGTATCGAACTCATTGCAATAAAGAAGTTGACTTCCACAGAACTCGGTTTTCCTTCATCAAAACAACTTCTAAAATGCTTCTCAAAGAAGTTAACCACTATCATTGTGAAGATCTTCATCATAGACTATATTCTTTCAGCTACTAAAACCATCGTTATGATACTATTAAGCCATATTTACGATTTACAGTAAGTTTGCTAAAATATAAGGTGTTTTCGACTTTCAAGGTCAAAGGTAAGGACGAACTTCGAAGACCCGTTAAGATCCAGGTTAGAATTTGTCTACAGAAATATATGTTTGTTGTAAGAGATGACTAATGGGATCGGGTGGTCTGGCTCGCTGACTTGGTTGATGCATGCCACCGTATCCTTACTGCTAGATTAAAGCTCATGAATTCAGTCACGAAATTCCCTGGTGAAGATTTGAATATGGCTGGAATATTGCCGAGTGCGGCGTCAAACAACACATGTTACAAATGCATCAGATCATGATTCAAATTAATCCAAAGTAATCGCTTAATTCAAGCCTTCATGTGTTTCGCCCATGTTGAATGAAGTTTCATATTTCAGGGGCAGAATGACACAGACCCGCAACTCACACTGACTAAGCAACCAACAAAGAGCTATAACTTTGTTGATCACGAGGAGAAGACGCAGACTCTGACAACTGCAATATGTTTAAGCTTGACAAATATCAGCTACAATGAGGAAGAAACTGTTTTTCACGTCCAAGTTTTACAATAAAGGAGCAGGTACACACCGTACCTGCTCGACAGGTGATCGTTTGATGACAAATTAATTAAGCACGTGATCATGAGAATGACATGAACAAAGAAGGCGCCCACATTTGGGGCTAAATGTATAATAGTTTGCACACCTAAAACTTCTAGTTTCACAAATTATACCACACCGAGAGAGTATTTTCTTGGGAATTTTGTGTGTGTGTGTGCGTGCTTGTGTGTGCGTGTGTGTGTGTGTGTGTTTGGGGGTGTGCGCATTTTTAACTGTTTCAGTTCTTGGTCGTCGTAACCATTTGCAGAAGCGCACTCGGAGTCCTTTGACGAAGCGCGTCAACTCTTTACCCACTAGGCTACCCTCCGCCCCTATTATTAAAGCAATACCTTGACGTAGTTCATCGCTTTACTGTGTGACCGTAATGTACTTTGTCAATTTAGAGCTGTACGTTGGACAGAATATTGCCCCTTGGTCTATCTTAGCGCTAAGACAGCTTCGCAAATCCAGACCCAGTACTATATACAGCATCATCTACAAAGTCTACGAGGAAATTTTTTTCAAAATTCGAAGCTCGAAACATTTCTCAAATTATCACAATTTCAGAAAAAGGAACAGCTATTGATGTGGTAAGTCCTGGCGGAAAGCCAGATAATCTTCTTTTACAGTGCGTCATGTACATAATAGGACCTTAGTTTGATTCATTTAATATACATTCCAGTATAAACCTTAAACATGCAGATTCGTATCGTCGCATTGTTGAACCAAACAGAATTCTATAAACATTCACCGTCAGACAGACATCTTGACATCAGTAGACGTCTGTCTTTCTGTTAATTGAACGACGTGCAGAAACGCACAATTGGTTTAAGAAGAACCTACTTTACATGTTTTAATCCCGCCCAGACAGCGTGTTCACATATTTAAAGACATGTATGTGCTCGTGGATTTATGTCTCTGTCTATCAAATTCAGTTGTGCACTGTGGTTCGATTGTTTACACGAGCTAGAACTCAGATATAAATAAAGGGTCTTCATTTCTTAAGAATGGTCCTTGTATCTTGTATGTTCGTTTCATTTTTAGATCCTCTATCTCTTTGTACCTTTTTACAGTGCAGTCACAGCGATACATCTTCGTATGTCAATATTAAAGAGTGTGCGTTCTTTAAGTGTGGGTTTGGCCTTATGCTACCAAGCCATCTTTGTGCTAACAGTCGCTGAAGTCCGACTTACGAAAGTGGTAGCTTATGAGACGGGCACTGTAACTTTCTTATAGATGGGATTCGGACATAACCACATCCAATAATATGCATAAATCCTTCCGATCGGTTCATTTTCTGGGACTAGATTGATTGTCATCCAAAACTTTCTATCCATATTTTTGTAATTTAAAAGAGAAAAAGAGAAGAAAATCTTATCAAACCTCCCGCATACTCCCGGGGACTATGGTGTAGGATCAAAGAATTATCCTAATACGTATCAAATATTTTTAAAGCGGTCACTCTTGTAGGCTAATTCTGTATTTACACTACGAGTGGGCCTAGGACACAGCAATTCGCTCTGCAGATTTGCGTCCCTTGGTCAAGCAAGAAAAGTGTGATTGGGAGTTCGAATACCGGTTTATTCCGATTAAGTTCCTTGGTTTGTTACCTGTGTGTATGGGTTTTGACAAAAAGTGAGAGAGTGAGTTTAGTTTTACGCAGCTTTTAGCAATATTCCTGCAATATCACGGCAGGGGCACCAGAAATGGGCTTCACACATTGTACCCATGTGGGGAATCGAACCAGGGCATTGGCCCACCGCTCCTTCGCCAAAGAAGTAAACGAGTGACACCTGTTTTTTACCCAAGGGTATCACTGGTGTCCTTTCCAATTTGAAAACACCTGCTTGTTTCTGTAAAAATTATATATTTTCAAAAGCTAAGCCGTAGTCTGCCTATATGTGTGCTGGGCACATAATTTGATTCAGCATTAGGATATAGATAGTACCAGTAATATTTGTTTTGCTATTCCCTGATTAATCTCACATACCCCATTGATATTACAATTATTACATTACAATTACGCACAGATAAAAATAAATATCTACGATAGTAGTATGCGTCTGTCTATAATCCATGACCCAACGTAACTCTCCAACTGTAAGAAATATTTACGAATAGGGTATAATCAAACAAACCGCATAACACTTAAAATAACCTGTGCAATACAAATTCAATGTATTAGTGGGACTATATTCACGCTAGACATATATAAAATACTGTACTCAAACAATGACAAAAAGAAATCATCAGTTCAATACCGAAAGGATCATTCTGTGTTTCAAATTTGTTTCATCAAAAGCAACTCTATTACTGAAACAACAATAATGCGCCAAAACAAGTCAAAATTTACCTGCAAGTAACTCTCAATCTCGAGTAATCCAAACGGTATCCACTAGCGTTATGTTTAGAAGGTAGACCCAGGCCCGTCATGCCCCGTACATAGCGACCAGACACAATATCACCTTCCTTCCCTCAGTCGTATGGATTCAGAGACAGCCGGATCCCACATACGCCAGTATTCATCAACAAGTGGGCTCCGAGTGTAACGGTGTTCAACGTCCGCCCCGGTCTCAGTGCTTGTGTTTAGTGATAACGTGTCCTCGGGCTAAAGCCGGGCGTTGTTAAAGAATTGAGTCATAGCTGTGGTTTAATGCACTGGGTGGTTATTGGTGTTATAAACGTACATTTATCTCGACAGAAGAACGTTATATTGGTTATAATTGCCCCGAGTGGTGTGTAAAAATTGTTGTTGACGTGAGATCGTTAAAGAAACGTTCTACAAGTCCATATGACATGTTGGCAGGACAAGTGAATCATTTAATATTATGTTCTTGTTTCGACCAGCACTCCTGACACAATCCTATGTCCTGTTCTGTAATCACTTCAGATAAGACAGTGACGGGTTCAGGAAATCACAAGTATGATTAAGGTTGGTTGGTTGGTTGTTTAACGCCGCATGAAGCAACATTCCAGCTGTATGGCGGCAATCTGTAAATAAACGAGCCTGGACCGGACAAGCCTGTGATCAACAACATGAACATTGATCTACGCAATTGGGATACGATGACATGTATCAACCAAGTCTGGATGACATGCATCAACCAACCGATCCTGTTAGTCGCCTCTTACGACAAGCATGGGTTGCTGAAGACCAATTCTAACCCGGATTTTCAGGGGTAGATGATTAATGTAAATTTATGAGTACAGCACGGTTCGTCCCTAGTAACATATGCTGGATCGTTGTTCATAATATCAAACACTGGATAATCTCGATGTACAGACTTGATTGCACAGGTAGATCGCATCAAGTGGACTATTGTTGAGGGTGACATTGGACAACAGACACGCACTAAATTACACGCACGCGCGCGCGCACACACACACACACATACACACACATATTTATATACACGCAGTCCGAACAACTGATGTCAGGATTCCGGTCAATTATGCTATAAACGGGACCGTCCGGATTAACAAGGTTTCACTTTATACAGATGGGAGCTTTAAATTAGTCTTCGGGGTCCCCTGAACCACTACACCTGGGAATGGTGAATTAATGTATTTATACAACGCTTTCTGAGAAAATTGAGACTGGCTGTAGCCACTCACTCACTCACTCACTCAGATGTTGAATCTGCTCAACCGCTCTCTCATCGCAGATAACATCGGCCATCTACGGAGAACGTTCATGTGTGGTGTACCGGTTGAACTTTATAACCTGCAGCTAAAACTTAGGCGGCGTCTTGAAAGTCACCGTGTCAAAGATCATTATCACTTGTCACCGACTCTAAAGAGAATAAACATGCGTAATGAGATATATATAATAAGCATAAATGGGAACTCTTCAGAGGCATTTATGCAATTATTAATCTCTCCTAATGTCCTGTCTTACGCACTGAAATGATGTTGTATAAGATCTAGTAATTGGATAGGAATTATATAGCAAATAGATACATCACAATGAGGCGGTAGAGCTTATCTTCAAAACACCCAACCCTTATTCCGCCTACCTTCTAACAAACCACTCACAAATCAAACTCCATAACTGCCGCATTTACTACAGGCTTATTTGATACGTATCCACCCAATTGCGTAGATCGATGTTCATGCGGTTGATCACTGGATTGTCTGGTCCAGACTCGATTATTTTCAGACCGCCGCCATATAGCTGGAACATTGCTGAATGCAGTGTAAAACCTAACTCACTCACTGATACGTATCCATCAACCACTACTGTCATTCAGCCTCCAAGCTCATTTCATACTCACTCACCCTTGAATGTCCACCATCCCCAAACTCTTTTCAAATCAATATATGTAAACCCATGTCCAAATTGGAAACAACGACAACGACTCCTGTTGACGTGTCTACGTCTTACGCGTGTGCCTCTTCCCTAATTATCCAGTTCTCCATCCCTCTCGATTCAGTCTGTGTAAACCCGTCTCTGTATTTGCTTGGTATAGGTTTAATGTTAGGTCCATGAAATCTGAGGACGGTTCACTTTCAACACTAGGGGCGACCATTATACGTGGATATTTTAAGATGAGCACCTCAAGTCATCGAATGCAGCTTATGCCTTTGACTGTAAAAGTACAGCTGTATCGCGACAACACAGTAGTACGACGGAAACGGCTGTATCACAGCAACACAGCCGATTACAACAGCTGTAACCCGGTAAAACAGCCGATCACGGCAACAACTGCAACACGACAACACTGCTGTATCTCAGCATCAGCTGTGTTGCACCAACAGCATCAACTGCGACGCATCAACTTGACTTCATCTTAAAACTGTTACGTACCCTTTGCGCTCCGCCATCGTGCCCATATGTCTTCATTGGTAGCATCTTACACATAAAGAGTATCCGTTCCTCACTGGATAGCATCTTACAGGTATGGGTAACCAATCCTCATCAGGTACCATTTTACAGGTATAGGTAACCAGTCCATATTTTGGGTAACCAATCCTCATCAGGTACCATTTTACAGGTATAGGTAACCGGTCCTCATTGGGTAACATCCTACAGGTATGGGTAACCGATCCTCATCAGGTACCATTTTACAGGTATAGGTAACCAGTCCATATTTTGCATGGGTAACCGATCCGGTCCTCTTTAGGTAACATTTTCTTTCTTACAAGTAGGAGTCACCGGTCTTCAATAGGTAATACTTTACATGTGTGGCAACCAGTCCTCATTAATTAACCTTTACAGGTGGGGGTAGCCGGTCCTCATTGGCTAAATTCTTACACGCAAGGGTCACCGGTCCTCAATGGGTAACATCTTGCAGGTATTGATAACTGGTCCTCATTGGGTAATCTTACAGATACGGATAACTGGTCTTCATGGAGTAGCACGCTACAAGTTGTGGTAACCGGTCCTCATAGGTAACACTGTACAGATATAGGTAACCGGTCCTCATTGGGTAACATCCTACAGGTATGGGTAACCGATCCTCATCAGGTACCATTTTACAGGTATAGGTAACCAGTCCATATTTTGCATGGGTAACCGATCCGGTCCTCATTAGGTAACATTTTCTTTCTTACAAGTAGGAGTCACCGGTCCTCAAAAGGTAATACTTTACATGTGTGGTAACCGGTCCTCATTAGCTAACAATTTACAGATATATGTAACCGATCCTCATTAATTAACATGTTGGGATATGGGTTTGGTAACATCTTACAAGTAGTCGTCACCAGTCCTGACCGGGTAGCATTATGTTTTCTCGTAACTGGGCTCATAGTTGCTGTAGAATTTCCTATAGAACAATGCCTCTTCACCTCAATGTCAACTCCTTGTGTCTAAAGGGCCCACCCAATCTATTGACCCTGATGTCTGGTCCAGCAGTCAGACCGGTAGAGGTACATTCTGAATAAGTGTGTGGAAAGCTCTCTTGATCTCATTGCCAATTTGACAGACACCTACATGTACAGCGCAACCAACACGAGGTGAACTTTACGGTCATTCGGGGCTGCAGATTGAAAGTACAGAGCCCTCTTCGTGCGAATTAGGTGTGTCAGGCTCTGTCTTCATTTATCTTAAAACACATACTGCAAGTCTAAGTCCTTGTTCGGGGCGGGTTAACCGTATTTCTCAGCCCTTATCGTGGTTAAATACCGAAATATATTATTACACACTTGACAGGTAACCCTTACAAGAAAGGTATGTGTCTGTCATTGTTACGGACAGTTTAAACAGGTTTTGAGTAACCACAAGAAGTGTAAACCACTTAGGCTCATAGTGGAAATTGTTGAGTTTACTTGGTACAACAAAAATAGATGTATGGCCATGATTAATTAAGTTGTGACAATATTCCAGCAATATTGGGGAACGTCCGTAAATAGTCTAAGAAGTCGAGTAGGAGCGGTCCAGTAGCCCACTCGCTCGTAACGTGGCTGACGCAGGTTCCACATTTTCATGAATACAATTAGCAATGACTTTGCCTTTCGTAATATAAGCTTTGAAATTTCCTAACGAAAATCCAATACTCCTTCATTAGTAAAGTCGTCTCTGGGGCGAATGAAATAGTACCTAGTTCAACTGCTGGTAACTGTGACTTTAATAGTGTGTGAGCTGGGTTTTACGACACTTTTAGAAAAATCTCAGCAATATCCCTACGTGGATACCAGAGATTAGCTTCACACACTGTACCTATACTACACAAAGGTGTAGTTAGGGACCAACCGGTTGTTTTATACTACTATAGTTAATCTGCCATGTCATGACAAATTACTGCACAAATATGAAAGAATCGGTTTGTCCTTCACTTCTATTAAACAGTATATATGGAGAATAGAACGGAGAACGCTCTACAAGAAACTAGAGTAAATTGAAGCTGGATCACCAGTAGTCTATTCGCACAGTAGGATGAAAAGCATGTATGTCTTAAACATTTTCGCGAACATCTTGTATCATCACTATTTCATTGTGATTCATGAACACATGCTCTGTCATCGTATCGCATTGTGACAATCACTGGGTTGTCTGGTTCAGACCAGATTTGTTTACAAACAACATCATACAGCTATAATACCGCTGAAACAAATATCTGCTCATGATATAGTCACAAATGTACAATCGTCTCTGCTTTTGGCAGAGATTTCTTATGAATGTGGAAAGGGTTTTGTGGCTTCCATATACGTTACCTTTGTTCACCTAAAAGGAATGAACACATGCACGGAATCGTGATTATCAGTATCTATAGTGCTAACTCGTTCGCCCTTTGATTAATACCATAGCGCCAACAGACTTCTACTGGAACCAGCTTCAACGTCTAAAACTAAGTATCCAGGTACGTTCCAGTTACTGAGACTTCATTGGACACATGTATCATGCATTACACGCCACACAGGATTCCTGAACATTTTCCTATCCCCAGCAACCAATGCGCGTAGGAAGAGGTGGGTGAAATACATCTAGTTGTCAGGCTCGGAGACTTGCGTGAAACGAATCGACTTGGCCCGACGATATGGAACACTGTATCGTGTATTTTCAGACTGACGAGATAAAGCTTGGATACTTATGCCTTGGGTAAAATGACCAATATATATTGCACAAACTCTGGCTGAGGGTAACACTATTGTGGATTTCCTTACT